TCAGCTGCAGCAGCCAGGTGATTGAGGTCAATTCACCGACATATTCAGTGGGTTTTTGCTTATCAATACGAGGTTCTGACTAGTATAAGCCCTTGCGACACACAGCTTGTTTGCACTTTGAATACTGTCCAAGGTTTCGAGATAGTCGGAACGTTTTGATATCTATTTGCATATTGGGCAGAAAAAGGTGACAAATCCCCTTAGTAGACATCGACCTCCGAAATCTTGCATTCTTCAAACTTGAGTCAAACTGCTGGCACTGTGTATGATCCAGCTGCATTCTGCAACAGGACTCGGAGAGCTCGGTCTCCTGCCAGCCTTTGCTTTGTTTGGGGCGCACGTCTTCTCCGCTGTTTGCCTGTAGCAGGGAGCGTGTATTATCACTGTCAGAAGTTCAGCACCCGCCCAGCACTAAGGGTGTTCTCGGACGGGGGCCCGCTTTCATTCGCATTCGCATTTCACTTACACCACTCAACTGAGGATGTCGGATGACAATGCCTCGCCGAGCGTGCCCAAGTAAGCCTCCTGTGTCATTGGTTTCTGCAAAGGATCAGTCTTCTCTCTTTCTATGCGGGGTGCAGATGCGTCGGGTGGCTGAAAGGGCTGAGCTTAGGTCAGATTTGGTCATCTATTCGTCCTCCATTTTGAGATTGTTATCAAGTCTGTAGGAAGAGGGTGGCAAACTATTGCTGCTGCTCACAAGTATCATGCGGCGTTGAAATACATCTGCGGGCTGGCGCAAGTCACTACCTCGTGCGATTGAAGGCACCTCGCCGCAATTGGGACGCCTTTGACCTGGTGCATCGTGCCACTTCTCAGGAACCGAAGGCGGACCATCATTGAGAGCGACGAAGAAGAGGAGGAGGAGTTCGAGGAAACCCCTCAAGCTGCCGCTCAGAATGGTGGTGGTCAGGAGAATGGGGCTGGCAATGCAGAAGAAGAGGAGCATGTAGGAGCGGCTGGTAGGGCTGGGGGGATGGAAGCAGAGGCAGATGAAGAAGGGCCATCCGGTGCTGATCGAGGGGCCGCAATTGACGATGAGGATGAAGGGCTTGTAGAAGATCAACAGGCGGCAGGCGAACCAGCTGAAAGAAAGCAGAAAAAGCAGAGCAAGGAGGGAGGTGAGGATTGGTTCCTGATTTGCACCCATACAAAGGTTGAAAGATGAAAGATGATTAGTGCTTTCTGTCAAGAAACCCTAAGTTCAAAGTGCATCTTTTAAAGCATTGGAGGGGAGGTTTGGACGCCAAGACTTGACAGAAGTGACCTCAAACCCCTCGTTGCATCGGCGTCTACTCTAGATCCAACCTCTGATTCCTTTCCTCAGGACATTCTAGCAGTCTATTCAAAAGAGATGTCTGCTGACTTCCTGCCAATGACAATCTTCCATTGATTTTGTCCGCGGTGAGTCAGCAGGTAAAACGACAACTTCCAAAATTCTTGGTAGTATATCAGTTGCACACCTTTCAGGTGACAGGGAGCCTAAGAAGCGGCGTAAGAGTGGCGAGGGCGACAAGGAGTCTCGTAAGCGCAAGCAGCCAAGGGAGAAAAAGACGGGACGTGCGAAGGCAAATGGAGAAGGGGAGGAGGAGCTCTTCGATTTTCTGGAGAAAGAAGGGGGCTCGGAGGTGAGCTCGCAGAGAGACCAAGAAAGTTAAAGTGTGTGCGATTTCAGAGGCTCGGTGGGCCACAATACTAAGCGGCTCTTGGTCGTAATCCGGATGATCGTTTGCGGGTTTGGGCAGGGTCCGTGTTGACAGCCAGATGTTGCCTAGATTAAAAGATCCAGGTTGCTTGATTTGGCAGTCCTTGCCCGTTCTGCCCCATATGTCTCTTCTATGCTCATACACTGCCTTGGCAGCCGCTTCATATACGGCTGCTGCGGAGTTGGGCTTAAGTGACAATACGCAGAAGACTCCAAAGTCCATGTTCCGACATTCTTTCCAGGATGACTCGGACGGGGTCCGCAACGCTGCGGACGATGCGTTTATTGACGACGACGGAGTCAGAAAGGCGTACGACAGCGAAGACGAGTATGGAGGCGACCCAGGCAGAGCGCCGCAGGCGGAGGAAGCAGAGGAGGACGATGGGGGTGTGGATGCGCTCTTCGGGAAGGGCAAAAAGGGCAGAAAGAGTAAGGAAGCAGCTTGGTCACGAATCTATTCGCTGCGCTTCACTCCTCACAGCTTGGAAATGTCAATTGATCCGTATCACTTAAGATTGACTTTACAGAGAGACTGGTTGTTCGTCGCTGCATTGCAGTGTCAGAAGGTTTCGAAGAGCCTTCTTGCCCCAGGGGCTTTTTCAAAGGTCGGGCTTTTCCGACATGGATTGGAATGGATGCACTTATGCAGGAGCGTTTTGGGTGTAAGGAGGAACGTATGGCCTTTTGCGAGCTTTGCTGGTGCGCACTGAATGGGTTTCTCTTCCACAATTTGTCTTTCCAAGGACTGAATATCGAAAGTGAGTATAAACCATCGTTTAGAGCGATCGCTTTGGCAATGGATACTCAAACTGTCTACACTTTCCAGAGCGAATTTTCCAGTTTCCAACTTAAAACTTGGCTCACATGGGGGCTCGTACTTGCAGCTGAGAAGTCGGACATGGAGCTTCAGATCGAGTGCGAGGAGTTCATCGCGCTAATGGCTGAGGCAGCGGAGAGTGACGCGGAAAGCAACCGGGCGGGCAGGCCAGCGCTTAAGAAGCTGCAGATGCTGCCGAACGTGGTGGCAACCCTTAGCAAGTGAGCAGACAACGCACGGACACTCCATGTATTACACAGAGCCTCCTATAAGTGAAGTCTTCTTTCAGTCTAAAGACTTTCCTGAACATACCTTTTGGATGTTGCCCAACGTGGTGCCGATGCTCAGCAAGTGAGCGGGCGGTTTCCCGACCCTTTGAACCGCTTTTGAAGACTTCACTCAAGTTCGCCCAATGTTTTAAGGCTTTTGGGGGTTGGCTCCCCCGTTTTGAAGTGTTTGGAAATCGTTTCGTTCTAATTACAGCTCTGTAGATGCTCAGCAAATGGCGGCGCTCAGTAATGATTCTCGCGATCAACCCACTTTTGCACATGCACTGCACCTTATCCGGACGCTAGACTTCCCGTATGATTTTCCAATATTATGTATATCCAATAAACTTATTGTTCATTTCCCTTTTCCTTCTCCAACGGACAGGAAATGCATTTCTGTGCATTGGGCAGTCCGTCGACGAGATAATCGGCAACCAGACAAGTAACAGATAACAAGTAACAATCAGTCTGTTCTTCCGATTTCCTGATTATCGTACACTTTGGACGTCAGACGCGCTGCTCTCGCCACTATTGCTGATCCTCGTCTTCTTGGCGTGCAGTAAGAAGCTGCAGATGAAGCTGTTGCAGCAGGGCGTGTTGATCGCGCTCAAGCAGTGGCTGGAACCCCTGCCGGACCGCTCGCTGCCCAACATCGCCATTCGGACGGCCATCCTGCGGGTCTTGTCCGGAGTGAGTTGGACGTTCGCATGTTGCTTTTCTTTGGAAACACTGAGAGAGCGGCGGGGATTGCGATGCTGAACCGTTGGTGCTCCATTCTTTAGTCGAGGTTTGCATTTTAGTCGGAAGCGGTCGAGCTTGAAGCTGGTTCCTTAAGGACGCTTACCTTCGTGCACAAAGCGGGTTCTTCTTTGTAAAACGCTACCATTTGCAGATGCCTAATGGCAAAAGCGAAAGTGGCTGAAATAGCGCATGGGGCGAGTTTAAGCCCTTGAGACCACCAAAAGCGTCTCATTCGAACCTTCAATCAACGCAATAAAAGGACTACCTTGAGGCAGCTACTAACATTTGAGGATGGCCCGACACAGCGGGACGTCTGAGACTGGCTGAAGGACAGCATGCAGAGGGAGCAATTCCTCGACTACAAAAACCATCTGTGTCACTCCGTTTGAGAGGAAACAGTGGTTGTTTTATAACCGTTCATCAAATTTTTGTGCGAGACTGATTCCACGCTTGTCTGTCTGCAGATGCCGATTGACACAAGCGAGCCGGACGTCCGAGACTGGCTGAAGGACAGCTATCTCGGCCGGGTTGTCATGTTTCTTTCGCGCTTGCCGGACGAGACCGCCGACAACCGGGCAGTCGCCAGGGACCTCGTCGATAAGTGGGTGAGTCCCGCTGACGTCAGCATTACGTCAGCTGCAGGTCGGGTCTTAAGTTCCTCTCTCGTTTCTGTCGAACTTTCCTCTAAGAAAGTTTGCTGTGCGATTTTTGAGGTTGCGTGACAGCCAAGCTCTTTGCTCTACAAAGTGGTTGGGTGGAGCGCAAAGAGTTCTTGTATGAACGGAAACAGGCAACAGCGCGTTCTCGTGAACGACCTTTTGTGTCGAAACCGTAAGCATCTTCAGCATCAAAGAGCCCACTAGCAGTAAAAAGGCAACAAGCACGAGAAGCTCACCTCATCAGCACTTTCACGAGTCGCACAATTCGCTAAGGCTAAGATTCTGACTCTAGTCGGTACGCTCTATGGATATTTCTTTCGTGACGCTGCTCTTGTCAAGCAGCAGACCGGCAGGGAGTACAGAGAGCATTCCCGTCTTCGAAGTCACATTACCCGCTAAGTGGCTGGCATCTTCTTTTTCCATGCCGCTTAAGCCAATCTCTGCCCCTTGGTAGAGCAGGTGGGCGTAAGCAAGAACGTCTTTTTGGCTCGGAGCGGATTCCTCGCTGACTACGCTTACTCCGTCTTTACAGTCGCGGCCTATCTTCAAGAAGAGTACAAACTACGAGGAGTTGCGGCACCGACAGGAGGAGCACCGGCCGGCGCCTAAACAGAAAGCGTAAGTTTCTGCGACCAGAGCTCCGAGCAACGCGACTTTAGCAAAGCGCACCTGTTTGAAAATGTCGCTGGAGCTGCCTTTGCACAGCAAGCAAGACGTGTGCCGTGCACCTACAATGCTCTCTCGTTAGTGCAGATAGCACAACAGTCACCACGCACACTCAATAGAACTATGCGTATTAAGGCCATCTTGATATTCGTATTGGAAGTAGCTCTCGAGCTTCACTCCGTCGTGTGGGTCGTTGATCCCGTCACCGCAGCGTGGCACTCAGGCGCGAGGACGCTCGCAAGGCTTTAATGGGGGCGCGCTATGTGCTGCGATGCTTGCCCGTCGCCGTTCGATTTTATTCACAGTTCTCACGTTGTCATGTGAACCGTTGACCTGTCGCTTTGGACGCTCCGCAGATTAGCACTCGGATTCAGAATCAGGAAGCCCCAGTCCTGAATAGTGAGCTCCCAGCTAAACTCAAAATCCTAAACCCAGATACTTGTGTGCTCCGCCCCCGTTTCCCAATTCCCGCACTAACCCTCCTTTTGTTCCAGGATGGTCAGCTCACTATCCCTGCAGCCTCCTGTTATGGAAAATTTGGATTCGTCTTTGCAGAGCCGTGCGGCGCATGCAGTCAGGGGACGACGACGCGGGCGAGGACCACTTTGACGCGGGCGCACTACATGCTGCGAAGCTCGCCCCTCAGCCGTCCGATTGCATCCCAATTCTTACCTCGTCTTATAGACCATTGATCCGTCGCCTTGAACTCTCCGCAGCGTCGTGCGGCGGGCGCAGTCCGGGGACGATGACGCGGGCGAGGACCACTTCGACGCGGGCGCGCTGCTGAAGCCGGGCGACCTGCGGCTGCACGCGACGATCCCGCAGCCGGCCGCGATGGATTACAAGCGGCGGTCGCAGTCGAAAGTGACGGCAGAGGAGGCGCGCGCGCTCGCCAAGGGCGGCCAGGCCTCGGAGAAGGCCCGCCGGGTGAGGCCGCTCGCAGATGCTTTTGCACGCTTCTGGGTGCATAACACGCCTTCGTATGTTGATTGTTGATTGATCGTTGATTGACATTGATCTGACAATTCCAGAGACATCTGGGATGCTCTTTGACCGTTTCGAGTGTATTTTACGCCTTTGGACGTTTCTTGGTGAGGATTGGCAGTGACAAGAAGCTTCCGGATATCTTCTGGTGGTCCTCTGAACATTTTCTGACGCGTGACGGGATTTTGCGACGCTTTTGCATTTGATCTGACGCTTTCGTACGACTCCGCATTCGATTCTCTTGTATTCTGATCGTTTGCATGATGGGTTTTGGCGGCTCAATCCCTGCTTATGGTATCTTTACGTGCACTTTAGCCGGCCCAGGCTGTTTCCTGCTGCCGGCCTAACGGCGCATTTCAGGCGTTCTTTGCAACTTGTTCGATGGACTCTTTAAAAGGTTTGACCTGATAGAGGAGGTGAGGTTGCTCGCGCCTGGGCAAGCCGCTGTCTTGACTCTCACCTTTCTCCCTATCCACTCAATTCAGAACTCAAGCTGCGTCCTCAATCTGAACGTATGTGAAAAGCCTTCTGGTGCATGGGGGCGCGCTATGCCAGTCACGTTCACGAGTTTCTCCTCTGATCCTGTTGCTTGCCCTTGCAGATGGACAAGACGCTGCAGAAGTTGCGCAAGAAGACTGGTAGCATGCGAGCGGAGAAAGTTAGCGTAGAGGGCCGGGGGCTCATCAAATACATTTAGTTCACTCTTCCAGGACGTGAGGTGACAGTCTGTATGGAGGCTTGCCCAGCCTGGTAGTAGGGCCTCCGATTTGGATCTTTTACGAGGCGCAAGTTCTTCTATTAACGAAATCCAGTAAGCATTCAAGGGTCTGGAGCGGTTACAATGGCTGCACTCGATTTTGGCGGCAACAACTTCTCTGCACTTGACACGGGTTAATTGGGACGGGCACGCGCGTTGCATCATGGAACGCGTGGCTTCCATTCCGGTCGATGCATACTTGTCGGCTGGTTTGACTGCTGGCCTGGAACTGCAAACTAGACGTCGCCATATACCATGCAGTTGCAGCGATGTTGCCCAATTATGTGAATGAACCGCACAAAATTACACAAGCTATTGAATGATTGGAGCAATCCGACGAAGTTGTGTAGATTGAAACGATTCTAGCTCATGTGCAGCTAGCTCCTGTGCTATGTGACGCGATCGCGTTGCACTATGCATGTGCATGCATGCACACATGCCCCGCCGAGGGCCCGGCCGCTTTCAAACGAATATGATTTGTAGGAATGGCAATGGCAAATGCAAGTATATGGCCGAGTCGCGTGATAGCTGTCTACTTCCGAATTTGCAACTCCAAACACGGTATATAGGAGCATGCATGCATGTGATAAGCGTGATCACTTTACATATGGAGGTGGCACCGACTTAAGACTGTTAACAGTCTTAATAATAACAAGCGGAGTTCGAAGGGTCTCAAGATGGTTCGCCCGATCGTGAAGTTGCAACATCATGATGAAGCCTGGCGAAGAATCTAATTGCATGATAGTAATACTAGCTAATATGACTAGAAGTCTGATAGAATGTATGGAGCTTTTAAACCAGACCTGCTGTTGTTGGGCACGTCTGCGTATGCATTGTAAAGATGCGCTATTAAAGCTCCAGACTGACGTACTGATCAGTTTCGATAGCCTTTTATCAAATCCATCCGGCCCAACATTGTGCTCAACTACATGCAAAAAGTCTTCCGAGGTTTGGTACGTTAATTCCACTGGATTCCGCGCTAATATACACACCGCCATAGCACAACCAGAACCGCGGGAAGATGTTCGGCTCAAAGTGCTTCTACCTTCGACACCAAAAGAGCTGATCTGTTTGGGAAGAATCCATGTTGCTGACATGTGAGCCCCGAATCTCGGAATCTGCTCGGGTATGTTGAGATCCCCCATAGTCCTGAATTGGTAGAAGTAGTACAGTCCAGAACTGCTCGGTTCAGTAAAAGTACCAACCTTGGCCCACCCCGCAGCCTCCCAATCCAGCAGAACCTTTATTTTCCCATCTTGCTTGCGCTGCGCTTTCAGGAGAAGATCATGCCGTATTGGTTGAGCTTTTTGTCTAGGGCGCGGCAAGTCCGGGCCTGCTTCTGCAAGATTGAAGGACAGACCTCGCTTACTCGATTCTTCTTCACACGTCAGGGAGGCACGATCCCAGGATTTTTCTCCTCAGGCTCGCACTCCGCTGGCACTACTGCCCGGCATACATCCGTGTCCTTTTCGAATTCCTCGTCGTGATCTTGAAAACTTGGGACGGAGGGTTCAAATCTTTGCCGTCAGCTGAAGAAAACACCACGCCTTTGCCTTCCACGTGGATGTCCATCAGCATGACAAATTCTAATGTCAACAGGTCCAGACCCTGCTTCTCCGCCGCTCCTTCTCGCGCCGTAAGATCGGTCCTGTTTGAAGAATGTATAATCTTCGTTTCTAGCTTGAGACCCAGCTCCTTGTAGCCAATTGTACGCCCATCTTCTGAGCGCGCCCTATAGTGCGCGCGCACGAGCTCCCTTGCCGGCGATGCCGTCAGAAAAAGACAGTCGCGTTTACACCATGTTTTCCAGACATTGCTTTGTTCCACCGTTAACGCTCTTAGAGTCGTTGAGAGGACAGCCAGATTGCAGGCTTCAGCTTCTGTGAGCCGGTTGCTCAAATTATCAGGTCAAAAACATGCGCATCTAACGTCTCCGCAGAGACTTTCAAAGCGCACAGCTGAGCCGTGAAGATGCACAGGAAGTCAAGGGCGCCCCAATGCGTTCGAGCGCCCCTTCGCCTCCTCAGCAGCTTCTTAGACCAAGGCTCTGAAGGCTTCCGACGTCGACCGCGCCGGTCCGGATGTCGGATGTGGCGCCCGGACCGGCGGCCGCACGGCCGCGCAGTGCTGGACCGCGGGGTTTGGGCTCGCGTACGACGGGGCGGTGACGGTAGTGGTACGTGACCTCGCCTGTTTGACGGTTTGCAACCAGCGCGCTCTTCAGAATGCGCCGACAGTTTGGGGTCAAACCTGATACCGGTTGACGCTGCCCGTCGACACTATCGATCAGTTTTCTGCGCCGGATAAGACGTCTCGAGCACTTTCAAAGTTCAGTTACCAGAACCTTCCAGGCCGCAGACTTGACGAAGGAGAAGCCCTGCAACCTTTTGCTAGCACCAGTGCTCCTACTAGTATCTTAGCAACACGGCCCAGGAGCAGAAGGACTCGGGAACTCGAAGCAGCGACTCATTTGTGAGGCGGGAAGATGGAGTATCTTGATGCCCCCACGTTCGATCACCTGCTGGGCTTCTTGGCGCCAGAGCACGCCTGCAAGCTGGCCGTGCAGTCAAAAGCGCTCAACGAGCTGGTGGGTGACAGCTTGCTCTGGAAGACGTGGTGCGAGGAAGACAGTCCCTCTCTCAAGACTTCCCCTGCCAGGGAGCTCGTGGCCGCGCGCTACGCGGCCGCGGTCTGCGCGCGCGGCGCGCGCGCCACTTACAAGCAGCTCTTCACAAAGCTGGCGGAGAAGCGCTCGGGGTTACTAAATGCTGAGGCGCGAAGCTGCACCTGCAAGAGTGAAACGCCCTTGAATATGGAGCTCTCGGCTTACGTCATGCTGATGGACGTGTATGTGGCGGGTAGAGGCCTCTTGTTTTGTTCAACAGAGTGCGCAGTCTCTGACTACGGCTGCCAGCCTGCGGGCTGCCAGCCTGCGTGGAAACAAACTGTAAGAAACGTCTGCAAGGCAGACATGAACGGAATGCATGCAACGGAAGCGGAAGGCGATCTGAACTCTGCACTACAGCAGATTCCGAGTGGCAACGACGGGGTGCCTGAGGACTGGTTCGAGTCTCGGAGGTTGCCACTGCACGAGCAGGGAAACGTTCACTTCTCCTGGAAGCTCATGCGCAAGGCGGACGGAAAGATCCAGATCTTGCTAGACCGGAAGCCCGTCCGATCCCGCCACGACTCTGGCTTTCGCAGGACTGATAAATATGATGATCCGGGGCCCGCGACGTGCGAGAGCAGCTTCCAAGCCGCCAGCGCTCTGCGCGACGGAAGCGGAACGGAGTGGACGACCTTTCAGGCGCTGATGCGTTTGTGCTGCAGTCGAACCATTACGGACGAATGGGATCAAGGCCCGAAGTGAATGACGATCGCTATCCTCTAACAGGATACCACGTGATCGTAGGAATAGCACGTAGTAATTATCTCAATGCAGAGTCACGGATGTCGACTGAGCTTGCAAACGAACTGGATGTGAAGATGCTGCTCAAAAATGTGTTGCGCCGGTGGGTATGACGGCGTAATGCAGAGGCACTGAGGCATGACCTGATAAGAGACCATGCGGCGCTTTTCAAGAAGGGCTTGCGAAAATCGTAAATGTGGACACCTAAGGAGTATCAAGATCAATGACACTGCCTCATGTCTCATTCTAAATTACAAACATATCCGAGTTTTGGTGTGTGGCGAGTATCGAAGCGCACGCTTGTTGTCGATGACACGTCTGATCGTGACTACAAGTTACTAGTTGCGACAAGCTGCAAGTCCCCTCTTATTTGCATGAGACTTTGCCTACTTCGGGCCAGCGCATACTCAGACGCCATCAAGCATAACTTTATCATTGGGCGGTGGACGAACATTCAGTGGAAGCAACGTCGCCACGTTTAATACCCATCACGTTTGCCAGGCTCTCTTCTTGACGAGATGACAATGAACACTGCTGGCGGCTTCATATGCGCAGCCAACTCAAAGTAGGACTGTTTCCAAGCTTCACCGCCCAGGCGTTTCCAGCCTTTCCCAGTCATCGACGGCTCTCGACGGGTCCACGTGTACGTCTACCACGACCTCGAAGTGCTGAAACAAGTCCGACCCGCTAACCCTGAAAGTCCTTGCGCTTTTGATCACAAACTGTGAGGACCGGGTATAGATACGATCTGGGCGGCTTAACGTTTTCCCTCCAACCGCCCACCGAGAGTCAACTGCTCGGGAAGTATCCCCCGATTGCCCTTCCGCTGCTTGTGAACTGTTCTTTTCGTCCACGGGGGGTTCCCCCGGGTGCCGACCCGAGAGCCACGCGTCGCACCAATCGCGATCCGCACTCTGGCTGAAAGGCCCGACGTCGTCATCTTTCCGGCCACAGAATCCGAAGTCACCTGCGATCAAGACAGAGCGGACTCGCTGTATGGCTTGATTGATGGAGTGCTTTCGTTCCGCCAGTCGACCGTCAGGTATTTCCTTCAGGACCGAGGTTTTTCTTCTTGCTTGCAGATTGACGGTAATTCAAATTACTTCCTTAAGATGTTTGTGAGCTTTCTTCTGAAAATGCGCCACGACCAAAACCAAGTTCGCCTGTGACGGCCGCGGGGCAAGCGAAATGTGGGCGGAAGAGTGTTTTGAACGTCGCTTTGTTGGCTTCAGAATCCGAGGAAGGCCATGTCGCTTTCTGCTTCTGCTGTGCCACAGATGACACACTGTCGACGCCTTTCTGGCGACCGAAACAAGCCGTATAAGCTGATAGCGGTTTGAGTTGAAGCCCAATCACACTGTTGTGCATCATGCTGCGAAACTGTGAGCAACATTCAGGCACGGGGATCTGAGCTTTCGACGTCGAGATTGGAAGAGGAAACACCAGATTGTCAGAAAGAGGATCCGGGAAGGCTGGATCAACTTGCCCGCTACGATGGCCGCATAAGTTTCCGAGATGTACGTCCACTGCTCGAGCTGGCTCATCAGCTCCGTTCCGGTCTTATGCGTTCCGCTCGGCGCCGTTCCGTCTTTACTCAACCGCCTCCCCGCACGTTCAGAAATGCTGTCTCTCTCCCCTGTCGACGCTCGAAAGTCTACGTTCCACGTTTCGAAGTCGACACCGTTCGCCGTTTTATGGCAGACTCTGAGCGCTCTCTTATTCGACGCCGAAAGGCTGTGCTGGGATGCTCGCTTGTGGTGGGCGCGCGCGAGCGTGATCTGGCCGGAAGGCTCCAAGTCTGAGTAGACCATCTGCAAGACACGTAGCAAAGTACGTTCATTGGAGTCTCAGGCTTAGCGATTCAATCCAAAACGTTTTGGCTTCTTCCCTTGACCCTTGCGACGTCTCAATTCGGTGGAGACGGGACCGAGTCGTAGGTTTGAATATCGTGATCCGTATGGAGTCTGGCACGAAGTGCTTAATAAAGCTCAATCAGAAGGAGGACATCAACCCCAACGCGGACTTTACCTCAATCTGCCAGTTTCGAGCCCTTGAATGCGTAATCGTAGTTTCTCAGCCTTCTGTTGTTTAAAGAAGCACTTCCACTTCAAGCTCCGAAGCTTTTCCAATGGTTGAACTAACGAAGCCTACGCAACTTCAAGTTAAACCAGCTCAAGTATCTGCTAAAGTACGACTCAACTAAAGAATGCCTGGATCTTTTAGCAAGCAGCACGCGTCCATTCAGCAAAGATGTTTAGATCAAACGTTCAGCTAAAGCGTGCCTTCACACTGCAAATCTTTACCGAGAAAATTCGTGTGACTAACCTCATAACCCTCACAAACGCAGTTCTGCTCCTCGAGAAACTCAAGCGTCTCTTTCGTGCACCCCTGGAGCATGATGACGTCAGCGTCCAAACTTCGCAGCACGTTGGAGACGTCTGATACGGGTGGGTTTGGGTCCACGTCTTTGCGGAAGTTGGCACCTGCGACGATAGAAAAGACAATCATTGAAGGAACAAGGAATCGGAAGAGAAACGAACGCATTGAGCAATGACTAGGCAAGTGCTGCACAGGCCTAGCGTGCTCTTCCGGGGCGGGGTAAATGGTGGCTAGACCTCTCTCCTTTTTTTATCCGCCCTTAACGTATCAGCTGTATGCGTGATTGGACGAAGCACGTCCAACAAACGAGGCACTTTCACCACACCTTTGAAACGCGAAGGTAGGACTATTGGGAGAGCCAAAACTACCAGAAATACTGAGGAGCTCTCATTGAACAATGCTTTCGAAAATCGCAGAAGGTGGAGTTGCTGTCAGATGCTTAGCATAAAATATGAGCGTCTCTGACCTGCAAGGAGGTTCAAAGTTGCCAATCGGAAGTCGCGAGGAAGCGTTTCGGCCAGTTGCTGGGCGCCGCGTGTCACGTTCTCGTAGGACGGGGCGGCATCACCGGAAGCAAGGCGGCGCAGGAGGCAGTGGTCGAAGAAGCGGCGCTCACGGTCCCAGAAAACGGTCCCGTTGTATGTGAAGAACCTGGGATATCATGAAATTGAAGGAGCTCGGTTTTGCAAGCTGCTGTCCAAAAGCTTTGAGTCTGCTGTCCGTATGTTTTTGAGTCCGCCGTATGGTTCGAGTTTGGAAACTCTGCTCGATGAGCCCTTGGCTCAGACAGATTCCTGCAAGAATAGTGCGGCACATCTGCTGGTCAGCTTGCAAAGCTCGCCCCGTGTGCACTAACGTGTCTCTCGGCATGTTTGCACCTGTGAGTAGTGCCGCCCGAAGCAGTAAGGCTGGCTTTTCCACCGCAGTTCGCAGAGGCGCGAGTGCCAGAAAGTAAGTTCTCTTATCTAAAAGTTTCATAGAGCAGAAACTAGGATGGGCTGGTCAGTTAGTCGCTCCTGAGGGCAGAATGGTGCAGCACGCCGTTAGTGCCACCAAAGAGACAGACCACATTAATGTCACTGATATTCCGTACACAAACCCATCATTGGAAAAAAGAAGAGAGTCCAATATATGCTGAATTACAGCGAGTCTGGAAAGGGCTTATTTGCAGGTGGACAACTGACAGCACATTGAAGGCGCTGAGAGGGAAGAGAGAAAGAGAGGTGTCTTGACTTTCTAAGGGCAAGACGTCGTAATCTTTCACCTTGCTCGACTTCGCTCTCAGCATCATTCTCGGTCTGCTTGAGGGTCGAATTTACTTTCGATGGCGCCGCAAGTAAGAAAGTAACGCTGAAAAGAACATCTCTGGATGACCCTGGGCCCTAGGAAAATGCACTGCTATTGCCATCGCACGATATCTTGTCTGATCGCAGTCTCTTGTACTCAAAGTGGAGAGCCGTTTCTCGCAACCAGGTAGCCTTTCAAGCTCTCTCAATGGCAAATCAGCTCAAGGACCTACGTTTCATTGAGGAGTCCAGTCCTAAGCTCAGCTAATCAAAAGAAAGCCAGCCCACGTGGTCCATTTTCCCTCCAGCTTAGTAGAACTTCCCCAGACGATCATTAATGATTCCCAAATCTTATGGCATTGTATACATAAGCTGTCCTCCCCCAAGCATAAGCACTCACCACACGCGGTGCCATGGCACGTCTCCCTGCGCGCTCGCAGGGGTCCAGTCCGCCAACGCCGTCCGCATGTATCTGTCAGCCACTCTGTCGTGGTACACAATGTGACACCTCTTCCCATCGTAGCTGGGGTTAGTGCGAACCAGGTCGTAAACCTGCTTGGACGTCTTCAACCGGACCCCTGAAATTCGGGAACTCCTACTTGTGCTAGGCGCATTCTCACCGGCCTCGTCGTGTTCTTTGGCGTGGAGAAGCGGGGCTGTCGAGATTGGTTTCACATTCTTGGAGGCTGTCGTGAGGGACTTTCGTGTTGCACGAATCTGCCGTGCGGTTTTTGGATCAGGGTTCCTCTGAGCTGTTTGTTCTGCTGAATCCTCTATGCTGCTGAGGGCGGAAGACGCCATGGCGCGCGCTAGAGAATGCTGGAGGGGCTTCCTCTGAAAGACTTGTTGAGCAACAAAAATGCCTGCACAAACAGAAGGAAGTCAATTTGGGTCTCGCTTGTTGGACCCGAGGGTGAACTTACATACTCTGGCTTAATGCTCACTAGCGATTGCAAATCTTAACGTCACAATGCGAATCAGCAAAGAGATACGTGACGTGCTTTACGAGACCGGAGACGATGCCGTGCAATTTGGCATGCCCAGAGCAACCGATCGTATGAGCTCGGAGTGATCCCCTTGGAGTTGCGTCACCGGTTACGAACCTATTCCCAAGGGAATGAGTATGAGGAACTGTTTTTGTGTTCTGTGTGAAATGTCCAACGTCAGATAGATGGGCGGTTTGGGGCAAAGACGGTCAGGATTCGCTCCCATGAGGCCGCACTTCTCGGGTTGCGGCATAGGGGCGCTTATACGCTGTCGGTGCGTATAAGCTGATTGAAATTGAGGTGAGCGAACCGTGACGTCAGCGTCGGACATTTATTTAATCGAGACCGTCGGTCTGTTTGGTGATGAAGGGTCGCGATGAAGCTTCAACTAATTCATCGGGGCCGTTGATTAGTTGTTCAAGATCTTTCGGTCTGGGTGCCGTGCTTGAACAAGCCATCATTTTCTGCTTGCAACTCAGGATAGCTTGTAGTCGCAGTAGTTGGGATGGCGCTGGACAGGGGCGCTTTTCGGCCTTGGAGAAAGGCAGGAGACCAAGTAATAAGCGGTTCCATTGAAGCGCCGTCTTCGGCGGCAGAGGGTTCTATTTCTTCAGTGGAGAGTTGTCAGCGGAGGTAAGTGACGAAGTGTTACGTTGGTAAGGGAGGTGGGTGGGAAGAAAGAAAACGCTTCCTCTCAGCAGCGCCAAGAGGCGCTGTTGTTAGCGTTCAGTTCACTTCAACTGGAAGTGAAGTAGTTGAAACGGGGGTTTTGTTCACAGCTTGCTGAGGCTCAGCTAAGTGCCTCGTCAGCATATCTGCAAGGGTTTGAATTCGTAGACGCCAAACCTCGGTGCGGGGTTTAGGCGGCCGCGACAGTCGCCGGGTTTAAGGGTTTCCGCCGGACAGCAGTCCGGTGCCTTTACGATTCAAGGACATCTGACGGTCGTCCTCAAATCTGACGGACGGCCTGCATTCCTTAGGCTGCAAATCGGCGCGCGCGGAGAATTTGCAATTGGGTAGCGGCGCGGCCGCGGCGGATCACTCGCGATCGTGGCCGCCCGCGATCGAGTATCTGACGTATGGACTATGGTTGCAACCAGCTAAGATCACGAAGTTGACTTGCTGCAAGCCAATCCACAATCAATTGACGAAAATCTCCGTTTAATAGAGCTGTTCTGATCTCTGTTCCACTCCGAAGCGGTTGCGAGGCCGGTAAGGCGATGTAAACTGTCCTTCTCCGGAGCGACTGATTTGTCATGTGCAGCCCTCAGCTGAATCATGGATGCCCAAGAGAGAATGAAAGAGACTGTTGCATTGCCCGAGCGCACCGACTACGACAGGTACGCCAAACAGCTTGCCTTGAGAAAAGTACAGGAAGCACTGGAATATGAGGAGGCTGTGAACTACTTCAAGGAGAAGAAAAAGGCTCTTTTGAGAAGATTAAGATTCTGGAAGAGGCACAAAAAGGGCGAAGCTAACGAGAATCTGGAAGCTAAGAAAGGAGATAAAACGGTCTAGGATGTACAACTCTGTAGCTTTCTGGGCAGGCGAGCTTGCATGCGAGCAAGCAATTCTCAAGTTAAGTTTGGTTCTCAAAGAGACCTGAACTTGACTTGGAAAACTTCATTTGAGGCTTTCATGGCAAATAGAGGAATAGCAAGATCTTCTCGAGAAGGTTGTGAGGGGGCAGTCAAGCTGTAAAGGCCAGGTCTTCGCTGCAAAGGTCTGGTGGATGATTGAGCACAATTAAGCTCTCGTGCTGATTACTGCTACGGTTGTGCCCAAGCAGGCTACAGTTGACAAGTTGACTACAATAAAAACCAACAGTCAACGTACATTGCATGGCCGGATAAGCAAGCTTGTTTTGTGCAAAGCAGTTTGATTACCAATGTTGACAAGATTGAGGTTGACATGCGTCACGCACATGCCGGATTTCGTTTAAGGATCATTGTATGGCAATAATCTCCTCAGTGACTCACGAGCCTCTTTGAAATGAACTCAGCTGGTTATCAAATATGTGTGCATACATGAGATGACTTATCACCTACCCGGGGCCATGAGATCAGCTCAACGCCACACATGTGTAAGCCGCAACACTTTCAACACAAGATGCCGGGCCAGCAGCATACGAACAAGATCCATACGTAGAATCTGCATGTCGTGCGTGAGTCCACCAGGCTCACATGCTAGAGGATTCTGCAATAGAAATACCAATGGTCACTTATGATTCAAATACTTCCATGCAACAGTTTGTAAGATCACATGACGACTTTGCGTTACGTACATGCTTGTTAAAGCCGCGTAAGAATGCGAATCCAGTGCGCTCAGAGCCTTTCGGTGGATGAGAGTTGCCCGTGTGCTTTGCAGGTGAATGGCATCATAATACAGGGGCAACTAATTTCAAAAGCATTCACAGGCGTTCCATGCTCCGGCCGTGGAAATAAGTGTGCGCACCATGCTTTAAGATATCTTGACCATATTTCAGTAACAACCTTTCGTCACATCTCCCCATGCCAAAGTTGCAAAGCGATCGCACGCGCCCATTACCTTGCCTTTCCCCCCTGATCAACTTCAACAGCACCTGCCAGCAGATGGTCCTCAAACACACTCTGGGCAACTTCCGAAGTTACACGTCTTCTCTTGCCTTTACTCTACAAGCGTGCCAAAGCCGACACGGTTATTGTTAAGCTATTTTGACCTTCCACCTGATATCCCTCAGCCCCTATCATTTCAGTAAAGGTTGCAAGGTCAATGCGGCATCCTCAGCAGCACCCCGCTTAATGCAGGTCAGCTGCAAGGGCCACGAGAAGCAATGGTCAGAGAGTCTGAAAACCCGCTTTCCCTTGGGCAGCTTAAGCACAGCAGTCCAGAAACGAGATCTGTTGGCCGGCGCATGCATAAGAATTCGGAAAGCCCTCCTCCGGCAACTTAGTCCCGGCAACCTGAATACAAAATCCTAAGTAGCAGTCGCCTTTTGGAAAGACGATATCCGCAACAACTGATGCGCATTGACAGATCTTCGGTTGAGCTCATAAACTCTGCTGTGACGAGATTGATTCCGAAAGTGAAGGCTGCTGAGCAACCCACCTTGCAGCCGACTGAGCAGAAGCGCACGTTGTCGACGAGGATGCGGCAGCAGATCTCGCACGCGGTGACGTTGCTCTTCGCGGCGGTCTTGCCGCGGTTAGGATTGGAGTGCGGGCGCTCATTGAGGAACACGATCTTGGCGCCGTTGATGGTGTACACCTGGACCTGCCAGAAGTCCAACAGCCGTTGGATGTCGGTGATGCGCACGCAGTCGTTGTACGAGGACCGTCGGATCTGCAAACAGAAGGGAAATGATAATCAGTAGATTGCAAGCACGTCAATGGAAACCTTCGCGCCCAAAAGCCGGCCAAGCGACTGGCGCATAACTCATGACAGCAACAGCATGCTTCCAGACGCCGGAAACGAATGGAACAAGGCTACCGACAAAGCAGAAGAGTTTGATGAACCTAAGGTCCGGCAAGAAGGATTGCAAGCCGCAGAGTCGGGGACGTTTCCAACTGTTTAAGGTCGGACTGGGAAGGATGCCAGAGGAATGTTAAGCACGAACGAAAGTCATACAAGCCTAAGACTAAAAAGCACGAACAGAAGTCAACACCAGCCTAAGACAACAAAACACAGGGGGACGCCCCTCACCTGCACCATGCGGTGCTCCTTGTGCCCCTCCACGCACGTCATGCACAGTGCGCCGCCCGCGCAGTCCGTGCAGAACAGGTTGCACTCCTTCTCCCGGGGGAGGCTCTTCCCCGCCTCGCCATTGTGGTTCTTACACCCCTGGAAGAACTTGACCGCCAGTAACGCCTCGAGCCACTCGGGCCCCGTCCGCGGCCCCTCCTTCCGCACCGTCTCCTTCGTTACGCCGGGGGGGTAGTCCCCGTTCCCGCTCGCGAGCCGCTTCTTCGGGCTCGGGAACGCGCGGCCCCCGTGCGAGCTGCCCTCCGCCTCCGGGCCCGGGAAGCCCGGCTCCGGGGGGGGGAGGTACTGCCGCTTCTTCGCCCCCCGCTGCGGGGAGCTCGGCCCAAGCGACAGCGCCGGGGGATCCCCTTCGGCGACGCCCGTCTTGGCGACGACGGCCCAGCCGTTGGACCCCTTCTGCAGCTTCATCCGCCAGCCAGGGGATCCCTGGCTGCCAGCCCCCGATCGGACGGCGACGGCGGAAGCGACTGCTCGGGTCCACCTTCTGGGGTCTTTGGCTTCCGCCCCGGTTTCTTCCCCCGAGGACTGGAGCTGCTGCGTGCGGACGTCGTGCCGCTCGGCACCCCTCCCGCCCCAGGAGCGGGCTGCGCACCCCCCGGGAAGGGGCTCGCGCTCTTCGTCCGTTTCAAGGGGGACGGCTTCGGGCTGGTCAGCGCGCGGCGCTGCACGTGGGGGGACGCCTTGCTGGTGTGTTTCTGCCCCCCCTCGGGCGCCCACCACTTCTCGGCGTTGGCTAAGAGGTGGTCGAAATCCTCGCCGTCCATTCCGAGATCGGACGGGATGTCTCCCCCGACGCCCTCCCAGCCGGCAAAGTCCCGCTGGCCTCCGCTGAGGTTCCGCTCGTGCCCGGGGGGAAGGTGGGCCTGACTCGTCGAGCCCAGCACGGCCTGGCTGGCTGGCAACGGGCGACTGACGGCGACTCCCGCCTGCCAAAGAGGGGTCAATTGAGTGTGCTGGTAACCCTTGGTTCGACTTCCCCTACGAAAGGCGGAGACTGCACAGAAGAACTTGCAAAGTGTGCTGCACATCCGTGTTGCCCCGCAGATGACCATCGAGTTGCCAAGGACAATTCAAAGCCCTTGTGCCCTTTTGAGAGGCCTGGTTGACCATGCAGCAGCTCGCCTTCTAAACCCAGCTTCATTCCTCAGACAGATGTCGAGCGCCCATGTCGAGCGCCCTTTCAAAATCCACCTAGCAGGACCGCTTTTTGTTTGTCTGATACGGATAAAGATCCAAGCGTACCAACTGCCACTCACCTCCTTGCTATCATACACGCCGGGGGCTGCTCCTCCCGGGCTCACAAACCGCTGCTGTCCGACCTCTCTTTCGTCCCGCGTCAGCAATCCCCGGAAGCCCTTTGACGACCCAGCGACCGGCGAACTGATGCCCGACCGCTTCCTTTTCAGCGTCGGCACCGCCGGCTTCGCCTCGGCCCCCGGCGCGCCTTCCTCCTCATTCCGGGGGGGCTGCGCCGCCCGCGCGAGGTCCTCCCACTCCGACAGCTCCCACCGCGTCGAGTACGGTAACGCGACGCCGTCGTTCGGCTTCTCCGCGCCCCCGGAATCGTGCACGACGCTCTGTAGCGTCGCGCCGACGAGCGCGGAAATTGCCGTCTGCTTGTGGTTGGAGACTGCGTCGGCGACCGACTTCTGGAGCAGGCACGTTCCGGGAAAGACCATGATTTCTAGCTCGGAGAGCGCCTTGCGGGACTCGGAGGAGCAGTCTTGGAAGCCGAACGCGCCCTTCCACGTGGCGTGCACGTCGGGGACGGCGGGCAGCACCAGCTTCTCTACGCCCAGCCGGAACAGGATCTGTGTACGAGAGAGAAGTAGCATCTTCTGAAATCGTCCAGTTGCTTTGCCTTGTTATGATTGGCGTGTTCTAAACCCTTAAACCCTTCACATGGTCTCCCAGGCGAAGAGTAAAACTTCCACTATGTGAAGAGGCTGACTCTTTGCCTTCCGCAAGTAACCCGCGTGTGATTCTGCTGTTTTGCTACCCGCACTCGGCAGCTTATGAGACAGTCCTCGCCAGAAGGAACGCTAAGCAGCCCGAGCCACCCTGCATCTGGGGAGTATGCAAGGTCGAAGCAAAGCCGTCCAGCAAGGGACGTTCTGTGTGCCCACCTGTTCGAGGGTCGTCAGCAGCAGCCGGCACATGCCTTGTCTGCGGTAGCTGAATTTGGTGGCGACAAGTGGCAGCTCCGCGACCTTGGTGCCGAAGATGCGGATGGCAGCGGCGCTGATCACCTCGTCGCTCTTCTCGACGATGAGCGTATAGAACCCGCCAAAGTCGTGGTACGCAGTCCTGCGTGAAAAGGACGGATTGATCTTACGAAGTTGGAATCGAGAGGGACGGGAGACACATCAAGAACGTGCACGACCTGTATGAAGGATGTTGAACTGGTGCAAAAGATAGTAAAGCATATTTACGCTCAAGGTAGGCGCACAAGGTGCGTCAGATTTAGTTGGTGGAAGCTTGGGGAGCAGGAGCAGAAAGGGCTTGTTTTGAGTGAGCAGAGTCCTTCGAGTGCCCAGCAATAGAAGCAGGGCCTGTGACTTGACACTGAATGCAGAGATGCTCCTCATTCTTAGTCAGCAACAGAAAGTACCTCCACCATTCCACTATAAGAATTTCTTTCTGGGTCCCAAAAAAGCAAAGAATTGTGCTTCTGATTGATACGGCTCCGCACGGACAGGCTGGGCAACATTCGAACGACGCATGTTAATCAAGGGACAGAAAGCACAATTTCTCGACCCATCAGCGGCCTACCTTTTACTGTACATCATCTGCGGGATCAGGTCCTCCTTGGTGCGGTTATCCTGGATCGGATGGAAGCACTCCTGCATCACCGCCAGCGCCTCCCCCAGCTTCTTCCGCCTCGCCGCCGCCGTGCGCATCGACCCCTGCCTATTTACACCGTTGCTGACGCCCGCTGACCTCATCCCCGCCGCCAAGCCGCCGGCCGCCCTCGCCCCGCCCTTCGCTAGAACCAGGCTCTGCAGGGGGTGGGCCCGATTCAGCGAGCCAGGCATCGCCGCACCCCCCTGCGCCCGGTGCTCCTCCGACGGGGGGGCCAGCGCGCTGCCGTTCTCCCCCCCCGGCGCGTATGTCCCGTCCAGAAGCGTCAGGTCCTGGGCCCACGTGGGTGTCCTCCGCATCCCCAGGCTAAACGTCCCTCCTGTTTCCCCGGGGGGAGCTTCCGCGCGCATGTGGGGGGGCAGGGCTGCCTGCCCATTGCCCCCCTGCGACGGTTCCACCTGCTGCTCCTGCCTCGCTGCCTCGAGCTTCACCTCAGGGCCTTGTTCGGCCGCCGGCGGCGCGTCCTCGGCAGCGGGGTCCTGTGCTTCCAGATCCTGGGCCTCGTTGACAAGGCCCAGAAGTTCGAACATGTCCTGGAACTCGCCCTCGTCCTCGTGCACCTCCGGGATCTCGTGCACGCTCCGCAGCCGTCGGATCTCCGACACCGACCGCGAGAGCACTTTCACGGGGTCCGTCTCTTCGGGGGCGGTCGCAGGCACGCCCTCAGCAGAAACGCCCTCAGCAGAAAGACTCCTCTCTTCCCCCTCCCCCATGCTGTCTTCTTGCTTGACACGGACTGTATCAACCTCCTCTTCCTTAGGTTCGAGGAGGGATTCTGCGGCGACAACAGGAAGAGCGCTCTCTTCTGCTTCGACCTTGCGCGCAACTGCGGCCAAATCAGATGCTGAGGCTGGGCCGTCTTCCGCCATTGGCACGGCCTCGCAAGGCTCGCCGTCCTTTCTCCCGACAGCAGACCCCTCAGTTCCTTGTCCCACCTCCGTCTCGCTCCCTTCCTGCCTCCCCATAACAGCGTCAGCTTCCGCAGCAACAGCCCCTTCTCCTCGCATCTCTTCCACGCCTCCTGCCTCCAGTAAGAGCCCGCCCTCGTTCTCCGACCCGTTTGCTTCTTCCTTTGCCTCGAACAATGCACCACCCGCTGCAGCCTCGTCCTTGAACTGCTTCTCATCTTTTCCAGCGCAATTTCCCCCTGTCGTTTCCATATCGACTGCCGTCACGGGCTCTCCTCCTGGCTTCGCGCACCGCGCAAGTCCCCCCTTCAGCGCACCGACACATCTCTCGCCCTCACCGACACACCCGCCGCACGGCTCGCCACAGTAAGCTCCCCGCTCAACTCCGTCCGCCCCTATGGAAGAGCAGAAGACAACATGGCCCCCTGAGTGCCCATCCACACACCCGAGCGCCGCTCCTGGAGGGCCCTCCAGCTTGATGCTCGTTCTGAAAACGGCTCCTGCACCGGGCTCTGTCGCCCCATGCCCGAGACCCGGTTCTGCGGCCGGCTTGATGTCGAGCAGGATCCCGTTTGGCCGGTGGGCTCCATCGGGGCTATCCCCGCGCAGCTTGATGGTTATCCCCGCCAGCAGAGAGGGGTCTGTGCTCGGCTTGTGCTCCGGCAACGCGCCACCTGGCGGCCCGGGCAGCTGCGTGAGCTTGCTGAACGGCACCAGCGGTGCACCCTGCAGAAACGTCTCCGCCGGCAAATAGCCTTTCCTCTCACCAGAGTGCCCATTCACACCCACGTGTCTTTCCATCTTCGAATGCCCCTCCGTGCCAGGATGCTTGTCCTCCATGGAGTGCCCATTCTCATGCGGATGCACAGTCACGCCTGGGTGGGCATTCACACCGCTGCTCGGCTGGGTGTGCTGGTCTGAGTGGCGCCCGCTGGTCCACTGGTTGGGATGCTTCGACTTCCGCTTCCGGATGCGGCTTCTCGCCCGGCTTGGGCTCTGGGGGGACCCCCCGGAGGCACTCGGAGGCCGACCACGCCGCTTCCCATTCCTAGTCAGCGACACAGGCTCCCCGTTCGAAAGCACCGCCATCCGGTCCCCCCCACCTGGGGTGGGCAGTTCTGCCCCGGGGGTGGTTAGCGTGGAACCTGGGGTGGTCAGAGTCGACCCGGGAGTGGTTAGCTCTGACACGGGGCTGGTTAACCCGGTTCCTCCCGCAATTATATCCGCACTCGGGCCCCTCTCAAGACCAATTGCCGCACCATGGTCGAACCCGTTAGCCTTTCGGGGGGGTCGCCCCCGGCCCCTCTTGGGCTGCCCCTCCGGCCCGATAGCGCCATCCTGGCCGCTGATCTCGGAATTTATCCCGGAAGGTCGAGTGCTCAACTTCTTGACGCCGTTGCTCAGGCTCTGGGGCTGGTGAGGAAGGAACTGGTTGGCGGAGGGTGGTCTCGGAGACGGGTCGGTCGGAGCCTGGAGCTTCTCGCGCTTGGCTCCAATCCTGCATACGGAAGGACACGGAGACAAGAGATTGTAAGGTTACTGAAACTTAGCTTTTTCCAGACCACCTCAAGGGCTGACTTTGTCAAGAGAGCAAATGCAAGGATGAAGGAGAAAGTGAGCAAACACATTCAGAGCATCACAAATATGTGAAGCAATGATGCGGCAGGTTGTGCCTCCACTGAAAACCGTTTGTTGCCTGTCAACCGGACGCGACCTTGACCACACAAAAGTAAGCACCAAAGCACCCTTTGCATGCTGCAGCATACAACACGCTACTCCTTAACACTCGAGAAAGTCGACTCCGTCCAAGCAATCAAGCGAAAGTCTCCTAGCTTCGACCACAAGTTACGAGAACTCTCAACAGAACGCGTCCGAAGGCTCCCGGCACCTCACCTGTACCCCTTCTCAAGCTCCGCTGCCTTGCCCTTGCTTTTCAACGCCAGCTGGCGCTTCTCGTCGTCCTTCTTGCCCCCCCCCTTCTTGGCCCTCTCCGTCTCGCTCAGCCCTTTTTCCTCCCCCCCCAATAAACCCTGGTTGGCAACCCCCTCCCCATCATCCTTGAGGATTGTCCACGCGTAACCCCCCCCCAGCGGCATATTCCGTCCCAGAATGGCTTTCAGCATGACGGCGATTGCTTCGCAGCTGCTACTGCAGAACCAGTCGCCCTCTGGGGGGGAATCCAGTTGGGGATGTCCCATCTTGTGGAGGCAGTCGACGTGGACTGCAAGGATTGGTGTCTACCTTGAGCACTTTTCTTTTGCACCTACTTTTCAAGATGAACCTTAAAGAACCTGCCTACGAGACCAGACACATGATTTGGCTCATTTGACAGTCGTAGTCAGGAGCCGATGCAAGCCCTCATTCACCAAGAGGTGGAGGACGTGAATACGAGATGAATAAGCAACAAAGGTAGCCCCTGTTTCAAAGTGAGTATTCAAATGCTGCCAGAAAAGGACATCCTTGCTTGCCAGTTCCTGGCTGAAATCCTCTGCAGACCAGGAGTGAAGGATCTTCATAGCACCTTACACAATCGACCTGACCAAAGGGCGTGTCTGTGACAGCGTACTCACACTCTCTCTCGCACTGGTCACACAGCAGGACGGTGCGGCTGTCAAAGCCGTCTGGGGTGAAGTCGCTCGCACCACAGTGGCTGCAGCGGCACGAGGGGCAGTACCAGTTGCCGTCTGGAAGGTCCTGCAAGCGCAAGATTGACACCATCAGAATAATCGACTTTGTTTGTAGAGTACAAGCTCCAGACAGTGTCGACTGGACCAGATATGAAGACCTACAAATGACCAAGTGAGAAAAAGCTCTCTATGACTGCTCCGCAACATCAAAGTCACATGCCTCTATCGTTGCGAACTGTCCCGCTGATACAAGCGCACCTCGCATATGTGAACGGGTTATATCTTCAGCCTGGCTTGCGAGAAAAGACAAGCTGAGGTGATAAGATCCATAACCGAACACCTTCTGTTGGGCTTTGAACTTAGCACTTGAATAACTTTAACCTCGTGATTTGTCCTCAATTGCACCAGGTGCGCTGGACAGAGTTTGTCAACTAGGACAGCCAGACGAGGAACGCACCTCCAAGCTCATGCAGCTGAGGTGGAAGGTGGCAGGACACGCGTCGCAACAAATAAGCTCGCCCCCGTCCCCGCAAACTCTGCACAGGTCATCATTCCCGTCTTCGTAGCCCTCTGGAAGCTGCGACTCAGGCGAGGCAAGGGCCTTTGACACAGCATGACCCGATTCTACTGCGGGCGCCTTGCTGCTGTTCAGCAGCTCCTTGAGGCTCATGCCATTTTCAAGAAAGAGGCGGTCGCTCGGGCGATGGATGCTGCTGCCCGCGTGGCGCTCAAACTCGCTCAGGGACTTGAGCACATTGCAGCATCTGCAGGTTGAGGGGACGGAAAGGTTCGCGCATAAGTTGCTAGATGGGGCAGTCTAATGGCCAATTTTGCAGGTCGCAAGCGGCAACCATAAGCTATCAACCTAGCGCGGCCTGGGGCCGCTGTTGCGGCAAAGCGTCACTTTCCAGTTCCAACGCAATTTGCATCGACACAGAGACAAATTCACTGACAAAGCTCGGGACCAGATGAATGTTTGCGGGTTGATTTGCATGCCAAAGAGTTGGTTTGCGGGCCGTAACGTACAGGCCGCGAGAGAGTGCTCAGACAAGCATCATGATGGGGAAAACCAACCACTATCATGGCTTCAGAGAAAGCTAAATGCAGTTCTGTAACCGGCAGCGCGGTTGACGAGCAACAGGCAAGCACCTAGAAGTATAATCAGGATAGCTTGGCTTCAATGTTTGTCAGCCTTCATTGCTCTGCATATTGGTGCATGCTAACTCAACCGAGACTTCTTCTACCACTTTTTGTTGCAGCTAGTCAACATATCAACCTCCACAGCCCTGCTGCAGGTGCCAGAGGCAAAAGATAAAGCAGAATGCTCTTTTCCAATATCAGTGCCAAGCCCTCCCTAATTACCAACCACCAGTAACTGAGGACACACCAGCAGTCTGCTGTAGGCCACAACCGGAACCTCACCGGCACAGGATCCCGTTCTTGAATGCATGCCCCTCCTTGAGCACCTCGTCCTGCTTGCCGCGGTACTGCACGTACGTCCCCTCCAGCAGGGCCTTCTCGTCCACCAGCTTCGCCATGAGCATGTTCGGGGCTTTCGTGAAGGCCTTGTAGCGGTCCAGGCTCACCACCTTCTTGCTCGCCCCCAGACCCTCCTCGGAACCTCCTGAACCACCCCCATCCGACAGGCGCCGCTTCTTTCCCGCCACATCGGGTGCCGGCCACTCCACACGCTTCTTCTTGCGCTTGGTGCCATCGAGCAGGGGGGCTGCCGCAGCTGATGGCTCGCTAACCTCCTTCTTAACCAGCCGAACCCGCGTCTTGACCACCTCGCTAGGGGTCCCGTGGGGCGATGCCTGGCTCCCGTCCTCCAGGGCCCTCTCCGCGTCCATTTCGGACAGGCCGCTCACGTTGATGCTCAGCTCCGGACGCCTGGTGGGGAGCTTCCCGTCGTGGGCGTTCTGAAGCGCTGAAGGCCCATGGCCGTTGGGCGTATCATCGAACTTGCTGTCTCTGAGCTGCTCAATCCAGTCAGAGGGGATGGCACCCTCAGGTGCTTGCTCAAGCAACTCCTGCTTGCTCGCAGAAACAGACCCCTCCAAAGACTCCAAGCCACCCCCCGCACTAGCCCCGACACCCCAGCTACGAGGGGCCCTGCTCGACATCTGGTCTGCTTGCTCTTGCTCCATCCTGACACTCATTTCAGCTTTGTCATGCTTCACGCCAACCCCAGCTTTCTTGCTCTCGCTCTCTGCGCTGACGGCAGCCTGCACCACTTCTACCACTGTATGCGAACCATGTGGCAGCCATCCATTGGCCGCTGCCAAGCTCTGCGCAAACTGCCAGCAATCGCTGTCGACCACCGCTTGGCCTCTGTCCCCCACAGACACCTTCCCGGCGTTGCTTCGATCAAAAATTCCTAACGTTGAAGAGGGTAAAGACAGGCTACCAACCGTCGAAGAGTCTTCGGAAAACCCGTCCAACGAGAATGAACTGATATTTTCTGGAAGACCAGGGTCTGCTTCAGCTCCAAACCTTACACCCGCTCCGAGCTCTTTGAGGGCATGAGCCTGATCTTCATTTGCGACTGCTGCTGATGCATCCACCAGCCCCGCTGTGTCCATGGAACAGCGACATGAACAAGGTTCTGGCGTTTTCCTGCAGTTCCGCATCACTCAGTCAGCAAACACAGATAGAGACAGCTTGGTCGGGGAATACAAGTGAGGATCAGGTGGTAAATTGACACTGAAGCACTCGACCACCAGAAAATGAAGCAGAACGCTGCAATTTGTAAGACACAAAGTGCTCATCCAACAATTGGTTGGCGATGAAGCTTCCCAAGCAAATACTCGTCCCTCAGACCCTCGGAAGGACGACGGGCTCTTAAGCAACTTCCAACACTAGATTGGTTAAAAGATGGTTCAGCAGCACAGCTGACCTGATGGCTGAGTAAGCCTACTTCATTGCAACTTCCTCCAGGAGCTCTCAGGTTGGACCAAGTTTCTAAAGATTCCGAGAAGACCATGAGGTGTCTTTCATGTTAGGAACCTAAATTGTTCCACTTAAATGCAAGTACTTGCTTCAAGGATACAGCCCGTGAGACAGACACAGAAAGATAAGGGTGAAATCCTGCTTTCACATCAACCTGATAGCAACTATGGTGTGTGTGGTACCAGCCTTGCAGCAAAGCGATGCAGCCTCTTTTGACCCCAAGGTGCATATGACTAGCTAGCTCAGTGGTCAATCAAGCTGGCAGATGCACCTCTTTAAGAAGGAGATAGACTTAGAGCTTTGAATGCACAGCCAGCTCTTAGAAATACAAGTTGCAACCAGAGGCTCTAAGGAACATGCGCACAACAATCATCGCTCAACAGACCTGGACACTGGGCTAGACCAAAGCAACAACACTTCTGAAGCACGTAAACGTAGACTCACAAGTACATTCGTACATTCGCATGTTTTGAGAGCTCATCGAAGAGTGTCATTCCCTTCAAAGAATCTCAGGGTTCTGTCAGCCAAATACTTTGTCCTCAGCAGACAAGTTGCATATTGACTTATTCGCCTTCTGGGGCCCAACACCTTTGAAACTGTTCTGGGCAACCCCCAGAGGATATAGCTTAGACAGCAGCAGCCGAGCTCCGTTGAGAAAGCTCTTTCAAGCTGGCTTCACAAGATGGAATATTGTACTTACTGGATGAAGTGCCCAAGGAGCCTGCTTCTCGCTGCCGTACGTGGCCCACACCTCAAGGCGCTGTCCGGCAAATACACTGGTAGCCTGCCAGCACTTACGAAACGCTGTTTCCAGAAGCTCGAATCCCACAGGAAACCGTAACAGGATGCATATGAATCATAAGGCAACTCCTTCGCCAGCGAAACCTTCAGGTCAAACCTGATTTGCGGAGAACCAAACGTTCACAAGCACGAGGGAGCAAGCCTGGATTCTCGGGAAGGAAGACTCTGCCAAAGGCGGAACGCCATGCAACACTGCTCTCCGCGAGCTGGCACACAGCCCAGGTACAGCCTCAGGCTCAAGTAAATTTGCTGCTTGCATGACCTGGACCACCATTCTGTTCACTAGCGAGCAGATAACATTCGGTACAGTCCGGTCGGTAGGTACCCAGGTACGGAGGTACCGTGGTTGGCAGAATTGTACCGTTCTGTGCACGAGTGAGCACCTACCGGTACCTTAGGACCAGGTACGGTACTGCCATCTGTACGGATGATGGTATTCATGACACTGAAAAGTGCGGTCGAGTGGTAACCTAGTTCCCTGTCCACAGAGCCGGCTGCCGCAGCAGGGCCGGTCTGGACTCTGGTCCCTGGACTCTGCTGCACCCGTACACCACCGGTACGGCCAACCGGAAGGTCCTTGGGATCTGCTGGAATCTGCATTGGTGTTAAGGATCACGTTTCGCACGTACCAGTTCGAGGATGGCCACAAGCGAGAAGATCGAGTTTGAAACGGTGCGCTTTTGATCGACGAGAAGGGGGACCGTGCCTTCGTTTCATGAATGCCACGTGCGAACCATCGAAAAGAGAAGCAGGCGGTGATGTTTTCATTGGACGCGGTCGAACGTTTCCCTGTCCGGTCGAAGGCGGCCAGTTGGTAGTACAAGCCTGAGGATTCGGCGGAGCATCAACGCCGGTAACTACTACCGGTGTGTACCGTGCAACGGGCACCGACCGGAAATCTGAAGCCGGTCGAGTGTCACCTGTTGTCGCTCCCAAATGTCAAATTGGACCACCTCGGTAAGAATCCTCCCGAGCTTCAATTAGAGACTGGTAGGCTGCCGTGGGCCTGGTACCCGCAGATTCCAGGTCGACCGGTAGGCACCGCTAGATGTACAGAGGAACCGACACTGCCGTGCACGGTGGAAGATACGATGGTCAATTCAAAAGAACACGACGTCCTCTTCCTGAAACATTTGGGCCTGCGGACTGCAGGACTCCTCGTTCTGCATCCGGCCCCCGATTGACTCGCAGAGGCTGGGACTGCGGGATCTGGCCAACCAATCACGAGCTTGTTCGCCAACTAGGCCGGATTGTGCGGGCGCCGGTGGGAGCGGTCAGTGCGGCATTGCACTGTCTGGTCGCCGGTCGGGCGCTCTTTGACCTTGAGAGGAATTGTTATCCAGCAGGGGCTCTCCGAGGCCGCTCTAGAGTCTCGACTTTCGAATTGCCTCGCCTAGCGTACCCAATCCTCTTCAGTCACTGTATGCTCTACTCCGTACAGTCCCTAAACCGATTGGTCCGAAGCGACAAAATGGAATGCATCGGACGGTAAACATTGGTATCAACAATGATTGATAGTCAATCAACGGTCCATTGACTATCAGCCCTTTACTATTAGCAGCTTGAGTCTTGACGCGGCCCGATGAGTTGCCGGTCTATCGTACGGCGCAAAGCATTCAGATTTCAACATGTTATTGGACGCTCTGCCAGTGCTGTTCAACTTCTCTATCTAGCTCCTGGACTACCTAGGTACCTAGTTGGCATATTGCAATGGGGGCGGCGCAACAGCCTACCTACTGGCTACAGGGCCAAGGCCTACAGCAGGCTGCAGCACTAGCTTGCAGGCTGCATTTCCTCTAATACAAGTTACAGGCGTTCAAACCTCGTCGGGCAGATGAAGTTGAGCTCATGGCAGTTCATTTTAGTTGTTGGCGTTGGAGCATAACATCTTGTTTGTGGGGAACACTGAGCTCCAGAAGAGTACCTGCTTGGAGGTAGCATGGAGGACGCCAGAGCAAGTGCAGCGGACAACACATACCCAATTTCGACAACCTGTATCACTTGTCTTCTGGGCACGGCTGTCTTCACATTCATTGCACGCCGAAACATCTTCAAAGTGACTGGAGGACCCAAGGGAAAACGGAAAAGGCGAGCAATGTCACCAGCCTTTGCTGTGCAGCCCCCAATAGACACAAAAGGCTGTCTCATTGAGCAATTAGTGCCAGAGGTGTTGTCGTATCTGCTGTCATATCTTGACCACCAAAGCCTGTGCTCGGTCAGCATGACATCAGCAACGATGCGGGTGCTGGCGAACGACGACAGGGTGTGGAAGCATTTGTTCCATGTGGTGAGCACGAGAAACTTTTCAAAGTCTACAGATTCATCTTGGCAAGCACTGGCCTTAGAAGTTGGCGGCTCATCGGAACCGCTCAAATGAGCCCTGCGAGATAGCTGCTTGATGTATGCAGTACCGTCTCCACTTGCGCCCCTTGATTCTGGGCACCTTCAGCAGATTGCTTCTTTGACAGCCTGTGCGATCAACTCATCTCCCGGCAACATATTTTCTCACAGTCTTCTTAGTTAATAGTTGTTGGACTTTCTCGCCTGGCTTGTAAAAGTTCCCTCTAGGTTACTGACTCTCCCCCCTCAAATCTTCCTCGACACATTTCCTGCTCATCAGGACGACAAAGAGAGGACACCACCTTGATATGTTAACGCTGTAGTTGCTTCTATGCCCTGCTTCTGCCATCTTTATGTCAGCCGCACAAGTTGAGCTCAGTCGTGCTGCAACCCATAACGAAGTCACCAAGTCGTTCTCTTTGCCGTATATTCTGCACGGCGTCGTGTAACTGAGTCTATGAAGCCGGCTTGACTCGGTGTCCTGATTCGTTCCGCTCGTTCAGGACTTCACGACTGAGCAAGACAGGCTGCAGCCGCCAAGTGGCTGGAAAGTGCACTACTCCGCGACGAAAGCTGTGACCGAGGCGAACCAGAGGTTCTACAGTGTGTTTTCGAGCAAGTCGCTGTTCGCGATGGCGGGCCTGTGGCTAAACGCGGACTACGTCAAGTGCATACATCCAGGGGGAGTGCTGCTAACAGGGTATGGACTGCCGACGCACCCGATTGCCGGCCGGACAAGTGCCCTCTTTCTACCGGCCTGCCTGAGACCCCAATGGCTCCTTCATCTCCTGTTGATTCCGAACTTGTTGCCTTCTCAGAGGTCAAAGTCGAACCTGAAGATACTTGTGAGGTTGGCTTGTGCTGATTCTCAAGTTCGCTGCCAGTGTCTGCAGCTTTGTTGAAACTGAAACAGCGTTTTTTTTCAATTGAAGTCCCAATTCAAGCAGCATTCTTAGAGCACCCGATTATCTCTTTCTAATCGTTGAGCGATGTCTGGATTCGGGCGTTCTCACCAAAGAGAAGTGGAAGTGTTTCCAGATCGCAACTTCTGGAACACACATACACTCGACCTGTTGGCTGCATTCAACCCCAAGTTCATCAGCATTCAGCTTTTCCATATTCTTCCAGCTTCCGGACCAAGTCCATGTCAAACAACTTACGCAGAACAATCATCGACGAATCTGCAGCTGGCGCCAAGCTAGTCCGCCCGCTTTCTTCCTTCTCTGTTGTCTCAAGGCTCTTTGGTTGACTGAGCATACGACGTTCAGGAGCAACCAAAAGCAGAACCTCAAAAGACGCAGACGATTCTACTTTCTCTTTAGGCGGAACCCATTGTCCTGCGTGTCCCATGTTTCTGAATAAAAGCCGTTTTCCCTCACGGGTTCCCTTTTGCTTTTTCCAGGTACGACGCCGTCATCGCCAGCTGGCGCGTGGTGTTTGGCTGGGGCCAACGGTACGATTTCGACCTGCGGGACGTGCGGTGTCGGGTCGACGGTCGAATGGCTTGGGTCACGCTCAAGGAGTTCGTGAACCAGGCGGAGGAACCCCTGATCGCAACCAACTGTTTTGAAAAACATGGCGGCGTTTGGCATATCGTGCACCATCACAGCTCGCCGCAATTTGCGGCCACGGGGCCCGAGTGGGGTCATTACCGGTGACGGCTGTGGTTCTGTAATCGCCCTTTGTCGCCCTTTACGACACAGCACGAAGTGCGAAGGTGCCACTACCGTCCAGCACATGGTGGCGACAAGAGAGGATTGCTCGAATAGCAGACTCGAGTCAAAGGTGGATCGCCTTCGGTGACGGGATTCTTGTGCACCAAATGGAACCACCATGAACGTGCCGGAGGTCGTGCGCAACTCGGTGAAGGATTTAAAAGACGAGCACAGAGATTGGGCGCGCCTTGAGAGCGGACTAACATCCCCAGCATGTTCTTGATCGCTGCGATACTTGAGGTTGTCATGAGCGCTCGAAGGTACTGTCCGTAAAAGTGGGCAGGAGCAGCTTGTGCAATTTTGCGTCTCACTTTAAACAACGTCAATGTAATGGCGGATGCAGTCTTAGAAAATTTTGACAATTGAAGCAGACTTCCAGAGGGCTTAGGCGAAGCCTTGACCAGACCTTACTGACTAGCTGAGCGAGCCGCAACTTGCCGCACTGGGCACTCGTCACTTAAGGAAAGCCGAAGACTATGTTAAGGTAGCTGTTGTGTCTCGAGAAGAACTAGCTGAGTCCCACGGTCATGTTGATGGCTCAAATCGGGGATTAGCTTTTTGTACTCAACTCTATATCTGGTCGGTCCGCATTTGGTCGTCTACTATAAGCATGGCTTTCGAAAAGTGTCGGTGACAGATATATCAAACCGCACACATGCAGTCATGCATCGCGGACGGCTGCGGCATGTCATTTGTCGGAATGCACCGCTATAAGGCCGATCGACTGTGACAGCTCTTGCATTCGTCCGCGCCATACGCAGCTAGCTATCGATACATGGGGTCATGCACATGTTCGTTCGATCATATGCATGACATCAAAAACCATCATATAGTTCGACTGTTGTCACATGCATGTACCAGGCATGATCTCATCAAAGCTAGCTAGATCCATGGAGCAATATTGTGCATCACGCATGACCTTCTCGATACATTCGATTTCGCGACTGAGCAGCTTAGACGCGCCCAGGCTCCTCCATGGGGCCTCTCTGCTCCCCACGAGAGCTATACCATGTCTTGGATCGCCCCTCGGATCGACCATGTCATGATTCTGCCCGTGTGACCTCATAGTCTTATTGCTCTCAACTTGAAGTCGCACGAGTCGCATCGCTTTCGAAATGATGCACCTTACTCGAATCAATGGCAGTCAGCCATCAGCGGTTGACAGTACTGCGCACGACTTTCGAAGCTCATGCCCTTCAAAGAGTGCCAAACAACACAATCTCCCATGAAACAACCTGAGGGTCTCGTTTTATACAACGGTGACCGTCTTTTCTTTTGACGGGCTTGCATCTTGGGAGCATTTTCATAGCATACATGCTGGTGCGGGGATTATCTGATCGTCTCGTGCATGTCAGGCTATTATTGACTCCTGCATTCTGTCGTTTCAAATCCAGGATCAATTTGAACAGTGGGCGCGGAGACTGGCAGCTGCCCTACAAGCTTCACAATCGTTTGGCCCATACAGGCTCACGTTGGATGTGCAATTCTAGATTTCTACCCCGGCTCCCCTCAGCTTGTCTTCCGGTTCGCGTGCCTTCTACGTACGTGCTGCGTCCAATCAGATCTGACATCCGTAACCTGGCAAGATTCTCTCAGGTCGACCAATTTCACAAAACATTCTATCCAAGCGGTCCGCATAATCAGCTGGCTGTTCCTTAGTCCGGAACATTGTGCAAGTGAACGATGTGGACCGGCGGCTCTCGGGGCGCCTTGGCGGCCTCCTAAAGGCCGGGCACCGCTGCCACCGTGTCGCCCAACGGCCGCTCGCCGGCCGCCGCGGCCGCGCGCGCTTTCCCCGCACTTCCAGCCTGCAGATTGAAAAGCATGCGCTGGGAGATTTCATTCAGCGGCGCCACACACGTACGTTGTGAACGAGTAAAAAAAAAAAAAAAAAAAGGTTGATTGGCCACTTGTAGATTGGAATCAAGAAAAAAAGAGAGGGACAATGGACAAGGGGCACGAGCCTGCATGAAATCGCCTTGAATTTGACGTCTTGGAACGAGGAATGAAGAGCACACCTCAGAAGTACGGTCCGTCCGACTCCGGCCAATGCTTCCCCTGTCAAGCCCACAGTGAGTTGGCCGCATCTGAGGAGCGCGTTTCTGATTGACTAAACAACCGCAGGGCAGAAGTGGATAGCTTTGAGCGATAACCTGACCATCTAGCTCACTTTTCCTGACCGGGAACAGAGGTTTCGATTTGGAAGATGCGCCAATCAAAACCCGACTGTGCAGGGACGCTCGTACACGCGCAGGAGCAGCCGAGCGTTCTCCTATCCAACAGTAGAATCCGAATTTCCTTCGTCGATTGGAGGAATCCTAGCTTGAGGGTCCTGGTCCAAATTGTGAGAAAAAGGCTGCGAGTTCAGGAACCGCCAGTGTCACGACCGCACCTATCCGAATACCGGTTACATGTTAACCCCAGTGGTTGGGAGCAAAGAAACGGCTGAGAAACACGCGCTTTGAGAGGTACGTGATAGGATCCGACTTGGCTTCGGACCCGACCACTGGGTTTACTTAATCCGAAATCGACCCGGTTAAGATAAGGCGAGATTCACTGACTTGAAAGACGGGCACTGCAAAGAGCGGGTTAGCAGCCGCGGCTTACGTTCACCCGCGTTTCAAATGCTCAAATGTCAGCCGCTAGTGTGGCAGTGAGAACCGCCAGGCAGCAGTGCGAGCACTGGAAGAACTGGAACTTCCGTGCTTGCTGCAGTGGAACGAAACAATGGAACGGGGTCGCAAGGCCGTCGAACGAAAGAACGAAGAACAGATTAAACATACGTGAATCCTCTCCTCTGCTTCGACGCAAAATCAACCACTTTGACAAGACAAATCACATGGAACCGAGTTCAGGGGGGATCTAACGTCATAACGTGGGGGAGATCATAAACTCTGCCGGAACTGTAGAAGATGTCTTGATCTCTTCCCAAAAACGCGCCAAATGACGGCAGATGGCAGTCGTCGAAGACTAGGATCTTACCAAGTCTTCTTAAGGGAGCTCGTACAACATAAGAAAGAATCCCAACCTTTGAAGTCCGATTTTGTGACCTCTTAAACCAAGGGGGCTGCCGGCCCCCCGAGCGCGCGCGAGCCCCCCCGCTTTTTCCTCTTCGGGCCTCTGTTTCATCGCATGTGAGGGATCGATAATACGTCGGTTCCATAATACGCTACTCTCACCATGTGCAAAATCTCTTCTTGCCTCCTCTGGTCGTCCCGGCTTGCCCCCGGTTGGGCGCGACCGGGGGAAGCTTCCCCGGGCAGTTTCTCGTCCGTAAATCTGCCCGGTTGGTCGCAACTGGGACCTTCGTTGAGTTCCGCTACCGGTCGGTTGGTGCTCTGCTGGGGCGGCGTTCCCATGGCGGACATTTGGCAGCACAAGGCGCCCGGGGACTGCGCTTCTAACTTCGAACCGAATTGGAAGGGGCGGTTTAGAGACGGATTGATGATCACCTGCAGAAAATCGTTGCCATGAGGATATTGAATGTCTCCGTGTGCGTCTCCCGATTTGCTGGAGTATAAGCTCCTCACGGAATCACGGAGGTGAATCGAACACCATGCTCAGTGTCAGCCTTGGGGCGGCGCGAAGATTAAAGGGAATTTTCGTCCTGGACGCTGGTTTTAGAAACAAACCTTAGAATGTGAAAGAAAGGTAAGTTCCGAGCTTGATTGGATCAAAAGTCAATAGAAGGCAACTTTGGATGCCGATACAGGGTGACCGCGAAGTTTTGAGGTTCGACATTCACCAACAAGAAAGCAGCCCTCAGCAAGCATTTCAGTATCGATTGTGACACACTACCAAAAGACGAGATCAAGCATAAGCTGAAAGCAAAGCAACTCTGTACCTTGTGAGGCGCAACACAATTGAGCGGACTCGGAAGCTGACGACTTTGGTTTTACAAACGCGGCTCGCATTCAAGAGATTGCTGCCAGTGGCGCCATGCACCTAATAGAGAAGCTCATCACTTATGGTATAAGTTTCCCGACGTTCTGAGCTCATATATCTTCGCTCGTGTCTGCAAGTCTGGAATTCTGCTGTCCGACCAGCTGAGTTGAGGAACACAAATGACAATTGATTGCTTCTTAGAACTTTCAGCCAACCGTAAAGCGAAGGGCGGGGCGTCGCCAAACTCTGCGACGTAGCAGTGCAACACCTATGTGTATCTTTCTGCTAGGGCGGCCAAAATGGGATACTTTCCAACCCGCAAAGCTGCCTCTGGTTCATGTATATCGGACTACGCTCCTTGGAGAGATCTGGGTTCTGACATCACGAAAGATTGCACTCTTTTCATGGTTGCCAGTCATTCCTGACCACTTGGGAAATGTCGAAACGATTCGGGATTGATCCCGTAAAATAGAACGGAGCATCTCCGGCGGTACAAAAGCCCAAGCCCATTCCGTGCATGACCGCACATGCAAGTCAGCATGCTCCGTCAGCACCGCTCGCGGGAATCGAGTTGCTCAATCAACGGTTAAGATCGTCATACTTCGCGCTGCGTCTGCCATCGGACGATCAGGACTGGAGCATGCGGGGCCGGCCGGCTGCATGGCGCGAGCACCCGCCGCTCGAGCGCACTTTCGCAGGCAGGCAGCAATCTCCCAAGCGTGTCGTTTGCTGGCCAATCTGGCGCTGCATGCGTTCCCTTCTTTCAGGTGGGTCGGCGGTTCAGTCGCCGACGAGCTTGACGCCAGTCGTGTCGCGGCGAATCTGCAGGTGCAGCACGAGCAGTAAGGTCGCTCGAAGGATCTGACGTTCGCGACCGAAGGCGTGCTCGTGGGAAGCCCAGTCTGAGTCACTGTGCAAGCTTCTCAAAGTGGGCGTCCCAGGTTTCGTACGCCTCACGTCACGTAGCGACATCGAAGCACGGCTTTCAGGTATCTCGTCGCCGAAAAGTTGGCATCAAGTACGTGCCCCGAGCACTGGGCCCTGTTAAGATTGGCCGGTTGATGACGTTGCGTAGACGCCCGCTTCAGCAGAATGTTGGATCACATGTTACCGGCCCGACCGGATCCCAAGCAAGCAGACTCTGACCGACCAAAACAGAGTCAGGAGACCCCGGGGCATGAAGCTGAACCAGCTTGCCATACCGTCGTTTCTCAAATCGAGTATCTCTTAAGTGCAATCCCGTAAGTCGCCTTGAGAAAGCTCTTCTCCTTCGAGGCGCCCCTGCATCTCAGCATCCAAGCGCACGAGTCTAGTCCCGTCAGCGTTCCTGGTCTCAAGCTGCCTCCCCCTTGAAATTGAAACGCGCGGAGGAACTAGAGCGGCAACATGAGCCAGCAGACCGACAGGACGTTCGATTTCGGCGGCACGGCCGGCCAAGGCGGCCAGCAGCAACAAGCAGGTGAGAGGATCCGAGCAGATGGAAATTTTCCTGCTCATGCACCAGGAAATTCAGTCTTGTGTGCCAATATCTGATGTGACTCTCTCGCATAAGCCCTTGCACCGAGCTTGGAGTTTTAGAATTTCGCTTAGACCTTGCGGAAGTTTTATATTGGAACACTTTCACTGGACGGCCACTGATCCATTGCTGGATACAGACAATGGTCGAGTGTATTTGAGTTCCTGCTTGTTATCAGTTCATAAAATGAATGCTTCTGACGGAGGAGCATTCACCTTTTGTTCCAGATTTTCATCGTATCTACGAAGAAGGGTTCTGAAGGAATGAGAAAAAGATTGGAGCATGCATAACAATCTGCAAGGCTGTCAGCGAGAGCTCCCTCGAGCAGTCTTGAAAACGCACATGCAGAAGCTTTGAAAAACGTTGGATCGATTATCCACATCATTGGCGGTATTCCCCTTCAGTGCGAGCTCTGTTCGAGATTGTCTACTACGATTTGAAAGTTCTCCCTCTGTCGTCTTCTCAGCTCTTTTTCACCAATTATCTACTCTACGCTTGAGCAGCTTCTGCATGCGAATTCTCTGCTTCATCTACATCAGTGACAAATTCAACAATTTAAGTCTGCATGACAGAGAACTCGCAGCTCTTTTGAAATCATATCGGAAAATCCAGTTCTTTCCGCTTCGAGCATGTCGCTCGAGAAGATCTCTCGGAAAGTTTTAAGCAGGCAGACCTTCGTTGAAGTTGATACAGACTGCTGAGCGACTCCGGAGTTACCCCGAGTCAACTCCAAATCTGCCTCAGTGAGAATGCACTCGGGATTTTCGGTTCATCATTCTCTACACATGATTCAAGCTCGTATCAAAGATCTCGTACCGAAGACTTTCTGCACGATTTGCTTGCAAACCTTCTTTCCGTTCCATTTCTCTGTCTCAGGTTACGCTGACCCCAGCCAGCAGGGTTACGGCCAAACCACCGGGGGAGGCAACCCCGGCGCGTTCGCACAGATGGGCTCCGGCCAGGCGGACTACCAGTCCGGTTACCAGTCCGGTTACCAGACGGGTTACCAGGCCGGTTACGGGGCCGCATATGCCGGCGGATATACCGGCTCGGGAGACGCTGGCGCCGCGGGAGATGACATGGGCGACGACGCCCGTGGTGACGTCACCACGGTGTCGGGAGAGGAGGGCTCGGCCCCAGGGGAAAGGAGGGTGAGCAGCTTCGATTTGGGACTAATAACAGCGGCGCTTTGTTCGCTTTTTGGAACTCCGTTTTCTTGATAGCGGAACACTCACGGAACCTGAACGGGGTAACGTAATGCGGGCGCTGATGGGCATGACTAGGTGGGTCATCCTTCGAAAGATGCGTCGTTGACTGAGTGACTTCGTTGCATTCTCGAGTGTGAGGCTCTGCTTTCAGGCGTTGTATTTTTGGCTCGGGTTAGGCTCCGCGGTGAATGAGGCAGCTGTCAAATCGTATCGAAATAGAACTTCCGAGAGTTGGTGTAAACTGTGCGAACGGGTGTTGCGTCCTGTTTTGATTTTTCATCCCCGAATCATCCTCAGATAGGATGTCTCGCAGGTAGCGTTAACGACCGATTGGCACAAAATGGTGGAACCTCCCTCGAGCGAACGGAGCGTCGGGAGATTGACCGTCTGAACTCGTTGACAATCAGACATGAAAGTTCTTCCGAGAAGCCTTTCTATTCTTGAAGGCGGTATTTCCGTTCAGAACAACCACTCTGCGTGAACTCGATGAAGCGAAAGAGCGACAAGCGAGCAGAAAACGCCCAGAAGACAACTCAAATTCTTTCTCTGTAGGGAGAGCCCCGTGACGTAAAGGAGATCCCGGTGAAGGAGGGGCCGCTAGACCCGGGGGCCGGATAGACGCACGAGCGTCTTCGAGACGACCATTGACGAGATGACACGTGGCATCGATTGTACAGTCGGTAATAATGTCTCGGGTCAGGGTCGGGGTGTGTACATAGGAGTAGCACGAGAGCTATGAGAATTCAGTCTCCTTTATACTGAAAGGTTTAAGATCGCAAAAGAGGTGCCTTGAGGACTCGAATGAGCAGATAGTCTTTAATGAGAAGATTCTTCATTGCAAGTATTTCTCAGCAGGCACTTGCAATTCTGAATACTTTCTCGATAAAGGTATGAGTGGTTGTCTGGAAGCGAGGCAGCTTCGCAGTAGCTGTTATGATGCTTATACGTGTCCTAAGGTATATGCCCGTTCAAGTGTGTAGTCTCCATATGTTTATACACGTCGCATGTTCATATGTGACACGAAACACGGAGCACTGATCTTCTCTAGCTTGCATACTCAGCATACAAGGGACATTGTTTGTCAGATTGTGAGACTCAAAGTGACTTTGCTATAGCTTAAACAAATCACAATGCAATAAAGCGAGACTCATCTATGCGAACCATCCCAAGAACACAACGCGTGCCAGTGCGACTTGAGAGCTGGAAGCTAGTGTACATGTATACTGTATCGATCCCCGTGGCTTCTTTGCATGACGCGCTCACATATGATTCAATGGTAAGATGTGGGCTATGTCACAAAGATTCGTTACACGTGCTAACTTTTGGTCTTGCGACTTTGGAGTTCAAGTCGCCAGCATCATTCCTAGCTCATGATCAAAAGTAAACGGACATCTGGACGCGTCAATTAGCTCGCAACGTGACTTGAGATCTGAGCTATCACGCATGACGTGCTTACATGTACGAGCCTCAGTACTGTGGGCATGAAACTTTGAGTAGCAGCATTGGCACACAAACCATCAAATGTGCTATATCTCAATTGCATAGTCGCATTACCCTTGCAGAGTTTCTCAGCGACTCACTTGAATATCAAGAGCCTTACAGGACGCCCATTCGAAGGCTTCATAGCCCTGTGGTAGAAGACTTACACCAGTCCGCACAACGGCTGGGATCGGAAGTAAAGCTCAATAAATACTGTCAAAAGTGCCCAAGAGCAAAGCGTGAGAATAAAGGAAAACTTAGTCAGCTCATCAGAGTCACGTCGCGTGAAGGACCCTTCGGAAGGCTTCGAGCGAGCATCGGTCCTCGCCCCCTTCTGGCGCGTTCCTGTAGTCCTCTAACTGCATGGCCCGGTCGAAAACGGCCTCGAACGTCCCGTCTTCCAGGTCGATGCCCGCCCGGTTCATGAACGCGTACATCTGCCGGAAAACACAGCCCAAGGGCGTCCGTTCCACAGCCTTGAAAAGTTACGTCACAGTGGCAAAGATGGAGGGAAGAGACGGATGTGACAGTGTGGCGCAGTCATACAGTTTGTTCGTTCTCCTATCATGTTTCGTTTTTTCTGACGCTTTGGCGAAGATTCGCAAGGACGAGCGGCTATGTGGCTGCCACGCAAACTTCGGTTCCCTCAAGCCATAACCCAAGTGTCTTCACCAGGATGTTTGGTGCTCAGAATGATTTCCAGGAGTTGCAACGTGTTGGTCGTCGCGCTTGAAAGCCACCCTCCATATCAGGCGCACCTCAGTTTCCCGTCCTTTGCCACTAAACACACCGAATCCAAGCGGTTCCTCTTCTTGCGGGGCTAACAGGGCTTTAGGAGATACAGAGAAAAACAGTTCTTCTTCACTTCTACATTCTCGACGCATTCCTTCGATCACGTGCTCTGATTTTCGTCGGAATCAAAGCGCTTCGAGGAGTCGGCTGCGAGTCAGCGTTTGATTACCTCTCAGAGGCTGTCAGACCTAGATTGAAGAAGGTAACGCGGTACGTACCTCCGGCCGGCTCATGGCCTGCAGGTAGTCCTCCTCGGTCACGCCCCGGTCGGCGCCCGGGAGAGGCTTCAGCAGCCGGGCCGCGTCGGGCTCGTCGCCATAGTTCTGCGCGCGCGCAGATTGTGCGTCAGCAAAAGAGAGAATGATGATGTCAGCTCCAGGCCAGAAGCAATGCAGTACGGTGCTTTCGGGAGAGGCTTCAGCAGCCGGGCCGCGTCCGGCTCGTCGCCATACTTCTGCGCGCGCGCAGATTGTGCGTCAGCAAAAGAGAGTGTGATGATGTCAGCTTCAGGCCAGAAGCAACGCACTACGGTGCTGTCGGGAGAGGTTTCAGCAGACGGGCCGCGTCGGGATCATCGCCGTAGTTCTGCGCGCGTAAAAGGTGACGTCAGCAGGGAAAGCAAAGATGACGTCAGCTCGACTCTATAAGCAACGCAATGAAGTCTGTTGGTAGAGGCTTCAGCAGCCGGGCCGCATCGCGCTCGTCGCCGTAGTTCTGCGCGCGTAAACGGTGACGTCAGCAGGGAAAGCGAAGATGACGTCAGCTCGACTTTATAGGAACGCAGTAAAGACAGGCTGCAGCAGCCGCATTGCGCTCGTTGTTTGTGCGCGCGTGCGTAGAAGAGTACGTCAGCAGAAAAGAGAGAAAGACGACGCCAGCTCGACATGAAATGCCTATAAGAACTGTTCTTGGACGAGGCTTAGCAGCCGGGCCGCGTCGCGCTCGTCGCCGAAGCTCGCCTGCGCATAAATTGGGGCGTCAGCAGATAGAAAGGAAGATGACGTCAGCTCAAACTCAGATGCTCAATCTTCCTTTCGATGATGGATTCGGCAGCCGTGCCGCGCCCCGTTCGTTTGCCGCGGCCGTACCGTTTGAAGAATGAAGACGTCGGCAGAATGTGCAGAGAGTGGCAGCTCAGTGCCAACTTCTCAAATCTCAGGAATAGATGCGAAAGCGCCCGTGCTCATTCTCCTCTCCTCTTTAGAGTGAGTCCGATCTTAACCTGTCTGTCGGCTTTCAGACTATAAGGTCCACCACAGAAACCACAGGAATGACCAAAAGCTGCTGGCTTACGCTTCTCGACCTCTCTTCTTTCGGACCAAAAAATAATCTTCACAGTATACCTTCATCTCTTTCAATCGTTCTGCTCAATCCAAAGAGCCCGGGCCGGAAGATTGACATGCGTCAGTCATGTTCTTCCAATCGACGCGTAACTTGGGATTCCGATTTTCGACCGACGGCGACGACTTTCGAAACACTCTGTTCGGAAGGTACAAACTGGTGCAAGCGCGACTTACCTGGTTGTCAGCCACAGACCGAATCTTGCCATGCCGCACGACGTCTCTCCTGATGGTCGGTACTCCGAAGATCCGGTCGTGGGCTGTACACAGAGAGGCGGAGTTGCGGTCACTAGCGCACAAGAACTAAAGGTCACAGACAAATCGCAGCCAGGGTTGATCCGTTAAAACTTGACAATCACTTTCTGGTATGAGGCAGGAACTTCCTCTCAGCACCGAGATTATAAGTAATCGACGCAGGGACTCGCCATCCCTACGTGAATTTACTTTGAGCCTATCCGCTGGCAGCATCAGCTTCGAAACACTTCCTATGCCTTTGGAAAATCGAGACCGATCAGTGCAAAGATGCGATGGCCGTCAGAAGCGTTTCGACGACTACAGCCGTTCCGCGGCCGTTCCGTCTCATTGTGCTTCCGCTTCCCAACGGAAAGACCTTTGACCCAGTCCGCAGCGCGACGACACTCACTGTCGCCGCCGTTCGTGTAGTTCCTGCGGACGGACCGCCCCAGGTCCGCGTCCGGCTGCTGCTGCTCCTGGAAAAAGTGTCCGAAAACGTACGCATCAGGCGGCTTTTCGATTCTTGTGAACCGCCAACTTCACAGCGGTGATCCGAACCAGAGCGTTGCCGGTTGATCGTTCTTACACAAAGTCAAGTTGCGACTATCTAAAAAGCGTCCGAGAAACGGCGTCAGCCACTGTTCCGGTTTCAGGACGTTTCCTTTAGTAAACAATTGGACGTCCGAAAGTATTTGTTCGCAAAAAGCAGCAAGGAGGTTTGGTAACCGATCTTAAGTAGGCTCGCTATAGCAGGCAATCGTATGCTTGATTGATCTCGCTGGACCAGGACTTATAGTCAGTGCCGTTCGAAAATTAGCCTCTCAACTGGAAACCCCTGGAGCGCGAAGAGGTCATCTTATTAGTAAGCAGATTCTGTTGCGCACTCTCATTAAAGTGCGGCCGCGTTGATACGACTCATCAACCGGGGTGTCTTCAAAAGGGGTCAAAAACAGAATCACATAAGACGTCTCTCTTTGATTCGCCCACGATCGGCCCTTCATCTTTGTTAAGGGTGACATATGACAGAGGCCCCGCGAAATGCGAAGTTCCTGCTATGATTCCCTTCGCTTGAAGTCTTGTCAAAAGCGTTCGCGATCTGCAGTTCAGAAAGTTACTTCCGAGTATCCTCCTCGAATGAGCTGTGCCGCGTCCCACTCCTCCTTCCTTCTTGTGGGCATTCCAAACACGTGATCTTCGTTCCGCTCCATCCCCAGACTGCAAAAGTTAAGGTAAGGAGGCTTGGTTACCTAAGTACAACTTGGCAGCTGCAAAGGTGCAATAAAGACGTGCGAGAGGATTTATGCGGCGACCGGATAGCATTCCTCAGATGCTCTCACACCGATTGTTCAACCGAGACAAATCCTTCGGGCCTCGCGATGTATACAGCTCTTGCATATACCGTGTGCAATACGCTATAAGGTTCCTCTGAAACAAATGCCCTGCGCGCTTGAAGGTGTACGTTGAAAGCGCGAGTCCTTGTAAAGCGCGAGTGACCCATCTCAACCGGAAAACTAGCACTGACACAACCAGAAAAAGGACCTCGCACTCAAAACTGCAAGGTCACGGCGAGAAGTTTTCGTTGAAAAGTTTACGGCCCTCACCACAAGCTCTTTGGACGCCCGAGCTCGTCCGCATCGATGGCCTTGAAATCCTCCACCTTCTTGTCCACGATCTTGGCCGTCAATCTGCGGCAAAGCGCCCGTGTCGTTCGAATGTGAACCTCCCCATCCTTTGATCATAACCAAAGGCAAAACTTCTGAAATGAACAGTGCTCCCCGTACTTTAAGGACTAATCACCTGGCAGGGAACTCGAACGATCGAATGCAGAGTGTAACGCAAAGCGTCCGAGGACATGAATCTACGAGCCAAGACATCGTCGAGACGAGGACCGATGAGAGGTATTTAAGAACTCGTCCTTGACCGAGTTGCTGAAACCACCTGAATCTGAACCTAGCTCCGGCATCAATACGCATCAAGCGTCTTCGGCAATCATTGGTCGCCCCACCTGTCGTCCTCCCCATGGTTTAGCAGCGCCGCGACCCCCCCGCAGTGGCGACCCTCCGTGTCCGTCACTCCGAACTTGTGGTTCGCCGGGTCCTTCACCGGTGTATTGTCCCAGTCGTAGTTTCTGCGCCGTTGCTCCCCCGGGCCGTAATCCCCGTGCGTCTTGACGTAAGCATTGTGAGTCTGCTCGTTCTCGTCCAAGCCCTCCCGGGCATTGAAGATGACGTCCTTGGTCTCGGGGTGCCGGCTGCGGTACTCTGCGGGATAAGGGGGTAATTCAAGTTGGATAGAAACGGGTCGAATGGTGTAGCGCTAAAAACGACAGTGAAACAGGGTTCCATGAGTGAGTAATTGGATGAGGTTAGTGGAGACGAGGTTCTTCGTGAAAGATTGTGCTTCGTTAAACGTGGTCCGAGTCTGTGGAGATGACATCCTTGGTCTCGGGGTGCCGGCTGCGGGTAATCTGCGGAACAGAGGGGTTTAGGAATTTGGTTAGAGACGCCGGCCCAGTGTTGTAACGCTTAAAAAAGATGGTGAAACAGGGTTTGACAAGCGATAAAGGCGACAGCGATGGTTTCAGGGAGCTGATGAGAGCGCGCGGATGTAGTGTTGCAGCGCCTAAAAAAGGATTTTCAACAGGGGTCCACAATTGATCAAACCTATATAAACGGATGAGGATATTAAATCGGAGGGTTTTCGTAACATCGTGATGGAGTGTACTTCGTTCGAGGAGGTTCAAATCTGTGGAGATGACGTTCTTGCTTCCCGAGTGGTGGCGGGGATACTTCGCCGTCAGATGATACTCAAAAGGGGCGACCCACTTGTCACTTGTCAACGAGCCCTTGAAGCAAATCAGTGCGGTCCGTAAATTGGTGCCCCCAATACACCTGCTTTGATAGGTGTCCGCAGTATACTATAGCAGTTTCCGAGCGTTTACGAGCAGTTTCCGAGCATTCACCATCGGTTATTGAGCCGTTAAGAGCAGATTTCGAGCGTCCATAAGCAGACTCCGAGCGGATAAAAGCCAAGTTGTCAGAACCCAACTTCGTCCAGCAGTTTAAGAACAGCGCCCATGCGAGATCATATCCTACGAACAGAACGACGCACTGTCTCAAGGCTTAGGCTTTCTCCCAATGCACCGTGGCGCATTCGCGCTTTGTTGTTCAATACGCTATGCGCATGCGTATATTAGCCACCGTCAAGGACGTCTCTTGACATCTTTTGAGACTCAAAACGGCTTTTCAGATTCTCCAGGTTTGAAAATTCCCAATCAACGAGTCAGCTCCTCGCAAAAAGCCCCTCAGCGACAATGTTGTTTCTCTCCGCAGCGAAGCACTTACTCGCATCAATGAAGCTGCCAAACGCCTTCGTGGTGCCAAGTTCGTCGGGGATAACATATCCCCTGCTCATAGGCTTTCCAAGGGGCTCCCGCTTGGTGCTGGCGTATATGTCCTCTTTCCGTTCCTGGTGCCACTTGAGCATCGCCGACTCAGGCGTCGCTCTTATCACCGATGCGACCTGTGGCAAGATCGAAGTTTTGGAAAGAAAGCCTGTATGCTGCTTTTTGAGAGGAACACGACCCTTGCAGGTGAAGGGAATGTCAGCTTCACAGGTGGCAGGGTGTCTGTAAGGCGGTGTATCAAATCCAAGGTCTGGCGATCAACTCCGTGCAAGGCAGCCAACGTCTATTTGAGAACTCGATCTGAGGAGATTCCAGAGTGTTCGAAAACGGTGCAAGCTCGCTCAACTCGCCAGCGTCCAAATTTTTAATTCGCCTGCGCTCAAGACCTGTGCAAAATGAAGAAACAGCCGCCCATGGTACCAAATAAATCAACTTTGAAGTCTCATTAGTCGATTGCTTAACTCTTTATTACAATTCGTCCTTCATACTTTCCGTCATCCTCAAACGCGCCCTACCGGTGCAATTGTCGTCCGTACTCAGATCGAAACGTAGTAAAAGCTCCGAAACGAACAACCAGTGCAAGAAAACGGTCGCTCTCACATTGTCATCCGCCGTCTTCTCCTTCTTCATTCCAAAGGCCTGGTTCTCCCTGAGTGGGACTTTATCATCCGCCAGCCCATAGTGCTTTACGACCTTGCCCGGTTCGTACCGCGTGGACTTGCGGTACCTGCATCCCAGGAAAGGAAGCGTCAGCGGACTACACAAATAACGGTTTGCTCAGGGCTCTGATCAAGCTGCTGTCGAGGTCGGAGCAGAAAAGCAAGCCTGCCTCGTGTGAGCAAAACTGCAAATCTTGTATCATGCGATATCACAAGCATTGCATGAGGAGCAGTGCAAGTTATGAGCAAGCCATACATGTTTTCCTTTGATCTGCGAAGGTCATCTGAGTGGCAGCAAGTCATGAACGGACATAACGGGGACGAAAAGCAGTCAAGCTGCCCCTGTGTCTGAGAGACAGTCAGCTTGCAGAGTTCCAACAAGGGCCATGTCACCTCACTTTTTGATTTCTGGCGGGGTTTCCGGACGCTCGCCGGCGTTCTCGTCTGGCTGCAGGCAGACTGCAGCACCTTCTGGCTTGGAAGAATGCCGCCCCGCCTGCAGGTTGGACGAGTAAACCAAGTCATACAGCCGTTGGGTGGTGATAAAGTGGACTCGTAGCATATCACTGCCGGTTGTTAGCTGACTTTCTGTCGCGAGACAAGACAATCATTGGCAGGCGCTCAGTGGTGAGCTGTGCAGTCTGCATCCGCTCAATGCTGCTTCTGAACCACAGACTGGAGACATTCGGGGAACTTCACGACAAGGACCTGGCAGCTGTGTAATTGTTGACTGTGATTGTATCGAGGCACTCGTGCATTTCGTGTAGCTAGCTCCTATTATCATTAACCAGAGGCAAACACAGCAAATGTTTGATATGCATGTCAGCTACAGAAAGCTGCTCATACAGTTGCCCGACAGCGGCCCATGAGGTGTTGGATCCTTGCATCCCTGTTTCCAGTTGCAGTTCGGCAGCTGAACTTCAGAGCTCTTACCGCACGGATGTGGGGCGTTGTATCCCAGGTGCCCGTTCGCAGACTGGCCGCCATGTGGCCTGTTGTGGTTCAAGTAGAGTTGCTGCAATCTGGTGACTGGCCAGTTGAAAATGACGCTTATTGAGTCTACTTCTGCTCCAAATCTGGAGGCTTATAACTCACACTATGGCCTGCCAGAGAGCTTGCGCAAGCTGTTAGAGTTTCTAGTTGACAACATGACCAGGCAGCAGAAGCGGCCCGCACTTGAGTTGGCAGGAGCTGGTGCCAGCGAGCAGATTGACCAGTCCTTCAGCGAAGGACCTCACGTATGTAAAAAAGTCTTCAAGGTGCAGATTCTTGCTTTTCAAACTTGAAGGCCCCGTGTCGGCAATTTGCGGAACAGAGCTCTAGATGCACTCTATGTGGCTGAGAGGCACCTCTCACCACAGTCACTTGCAAAGAAGCTTTGAAAGCTGCATCATAGTGGCTCAGTGTGAAGATATTGAGGATACTTCTGCAGGCCTTTGGCATCTGGCATGAGCTGGCATGAGCGCAGATAATATGTACAGAATCCAAGCGCCTCGTGTCCATTGTTTAAGTTATTTCCAAGGACACGCATTGTTTTGCGTGCACGCGCGCTGGCGCATGCATCGACGGCCAGCGTAGTTCGCAAGCCACCGAGGTCGACGTCAGAGCTTCCAAATCTTCCTCGAATCTTCTTATCCAATCTCAGGACACTTTCGGAGCATGGCAGCCAATCAGGCGCCAGCAACAGATTCTATCTTTGTGTCTGGCCGGCAAGGATATCCGTCGAAGCTACGTGGCGCTTCTCACGCAGGAGTATCTTCGACGCGATGACCAGAATGCCTGTGCGGTTCCTTTCTGGTACATACCCGGTACCCAAAGTCTGAGGAAGCAATGAGAAGAAAGATGCACATTCGCCCTGCTTAATTTGCAGGAGCCCTTCTTGTTGCAGCAAAGTGTGGCGGCAGAAGGAGATTCGTTCACAAGGACTTGGCGTTTTGCTTGAGGCGATAGACGCCATTGCCATTGGTTAGGAGAGACGATCCGTGTAGCTGTCGGTTTAGCTGCAGAAGACGTTGCCATGGCTTCCTCAACCGTTGCCCTGCGCGCGGGGTCGCTGGCCTCCTTCCAGGTGGTCGAGCGCAGCGCTTCTCAGACTGGGCGGAGCGCCCCTTGTTGCTCCAGGGCACTCGCTCTGAAGAGCTCAGCAAGCAGCTTTGCTGCGCCGGCGTCCTTCGGGGTCGCAGCCTCCAAGCGGAATGGGGTCATGATGATGGCTGCCGCAGCAGCAGAGGCCCCCAAGCCTAGGAAGGGCGCCAAGGGCGAAATTGATGAGTCCCTGTTGACCCCTCGGTTCTACACCACGGACTTTGATGAGATGGAGCAGCTGTTCAACAAGGAGATCAATCCCAACCTCAATGATGAGGAGTTTGTGTCGCTGCTCCAGGAGTTTGCGGCAGACTACAACCAGACGCACTTTGTGCGCAGCTCAGAGTTCAAGGCGGCAGCGGATAAGCTGGAGGGGCCGACGAGGAAGATTTTTGTGGAGTTCCTCGAGCGGAGTTGCACGGCAGAGTTCTCAGGGTTCCTCCTGTACAAGGAGCTGGGCCGCAGGCTCAAGGTGGGTTTTGCTTCTTTCGTGTGTGCACGAGATAGTTTTGGTCCTGCATCAGTATTAAAGGTGCCTGTTTATTATTGAAACAGCATTTGAAGACATAAGGCTGCCTTCAGTCAGGCCACATTACTATGAGCAAAGTATCTGCCTCCTTGAATATAGTCATCTGTCCGTCTGAAGGGGCAGTCTAGTCAGTCATTATCAGCCCTAGGCCTTTCTCAGATGCGGTTTCTATCATCGACTGCCTGTCAACCCCGAAGGTACAAGTTGCAAATCTTTGGCCCAGGATGAATGCTGGAAGCACAGAACTTTTAGATCCCAATTGCAAGTTTCTGATCGTAATGTTTCTTGTTTCAGGATGGATAACTGTTTGGTTGCACCAGCTCTAAGGACCTTTTTGGGTTGAGATGTAGTTGTTGCTTTGAAGGCACCTTTCCGGCACCCCAATGACATCATGTTTGGTCTGCGGTCTTGCTGAGGATGGCCAACTGTGGGAATTCCATGAAGCTCTCATTAGCGATCAGCATTACAGGCCATGATCCTGACCGTTTTCCTCAACCTCTTGGTCTTGCAGAAGACAAACCCTGTGATTGCTGAGATCTTCACCCTCATGTCTCGGGATGAGGCACGACATGCTGGGTAAGTTGTCCTCCCTTGCCAATTGTTCGGTTACATTCAAAGCCCTGCTTCTCTTCTGCACGGTATTCCTGAAGTCCATATGTTCCTGCGTGCATCGGTACGATTGATCACGTTCTTTTGTGTTTGAAAGATCCTGTTTTTGGTGATGCTGCGGCGGTATCCTTGTCGGCGAGCTCATATTCTGAAATGAAAGTTCTGAGATTGCTTAAATTCGGGATATCTGGCATGAAGACATGCTCAGTTCTAGTGCATGTGTGCTGTGAGATTTCACTGTGGTGGTTAACGCCACACAGAGGAGTGAAAACCTGCGAGGAAAGCCTGCAACAGTTTGGTGCAACTAGATTGGGACACCTGCTCAATCTGGTCACCACTCTGTTTGCAAGGGGGTTAGAGGGGAGGTACTTCTTAGGGCGCACCCACCATCGAGGTTGTAATGTGGCCGTAAGCAGATCAGTCCAATCAAGTTGGTCGGTAAAGTTGGTACAGGCAGAGCTGCAGAGGCCAATATCTGGTTGGTTCTTGCCCAAGAACCAGAAAGAAATGGGGGCAGCTTTCGAGCCTAATGCTTGGACTGGGTGCTAGAGATGGCGTGGCGAGGTCAGGCTTGCCTTTACAGGAGCCGTAACCGATTGGTCAGGGGCTAGGGTTTTGGTCTTGGAAACCTGCCACCTGGGGGCTTGCATCAGAGGCATAGGAGGGATTGCATCAAAGTGGTACTTTGAACTTGCTTTCCAGTATCCCCATCTATGAGTTGGCATCTGTGCAAGCTTCTTCAATTGCCGAGGACTTGGCCGCTGTTGCGAATCTTCCTCGTCTCTGTTACAAAGGAATTGCAATTTCAGGCAGGGCCACCCAGAGTTCTCCGCTTGATCGCAAGTCATATTGTTTCGCTAGGGTTTTCCACCGACTCTCCTCCCTTTGTTGTCACAAGGCCTTTTCTTGGTCAAAGTTTGCGAGGTTTGGTTGCGCCATAATCATAATAATAAAAGTTGCAACCTCGACGCTTGTACTTCTGCTGGGATGATTTTCATGTAGAATGCTGGTTTTTCTGTCTACGAAAGCTCCTTCAGTGGTTTGCGCACCCCTGCAACTCCCCGATGAGAGGCCTCATGAGGGGGAATACAGACACTCCTGGCCCCTCTTTCAATCCGAATAGAGTCTGGACAATTGACTTTGAATACCAGATTCCCGCCCCTGAGCCTGCATGCCCCCCTCTTCCCGCAGCTTCCTGAACAAGGCCCTCTCCGACTTCAACCTCGCGCTCGACCTCGGGTTCCTGACCAAGACGCGCAAGTACACCTTCTTCAAGCCCAAGTTCATCTTCTACGCCACGTACCTGTCCGAGAAGATTGGCTACTGGCGCTACATCACCATCTACCGCCACCTCAAGGAGAACCCCGACAAACAGCTGTACCCCATCTTCAAGAAGTTTGAGAACTGGTGCCAGGACGAGAACCGCCACGGCGACTTCTTCTCCGCGCTGCTCAAGTCCACCCCGCAGTTCCTCAACGACTGGAAGGCCAAGCTCTGGTCACGCTTCTTCTGCCTCTCTGTGAGTCCCTCGACGCTGCCTGCTTCATTCGGTCTATTGTAGCTGTTTATGCTGGGAGTTTGGCGGGTTGGGCTTGCTCTTAGATGATTTGAACGGCAGCTTTTGATTGGTGCTTTTGATTCGCTGCTTCTCTTTTGTTGCATATTGAAGGTGAGTCCAGTCATGTCGCAACCATCCTTCTGTTGCCCACAATATTTGCGAATCCCATACTGTTAGCGTCCAAATTGTTTGCGGGACTCTGATCTGTGCTCTGAAACAGATTCCAGGATAGGGAATGCACGTTCACTCTGAGCATTCACTGCAAGTGCTCAGTACTTGCTTGCGAGTGGCCCCCAGACAAATGGCCCGTAGTGTAGTAGCCTGCAGTATAACGGTCCGCTAGTGCAGAGGAGTTTTTCACTGACGCACTAATGCATGCAAAGTTGACCGAGAGCAGAAGAAGGTCTCGAGTGGAAGAAGAAGCCCGAGAAGCGCCAATTGCAGAGCTGGGAATGGTGGAAGGGGCGGCAGATCTGGTAGCAAGCAGGAGCCATTTCTTTTATTTAAGAGTACAGCTTAAGGGTCCGCTCTTTTACATAGTCTTTAGACAAGGCTGACATCAGACCCGCTCGCGCACAGGTGTATGTCACCATGTACCTGAACGATACCCAGAGGACTGGCTTCTACGAGTCAATTGGGCTTAACACTAGGGACTTCGACATGCACGTAATCATTGAGGTAAGCGGAAGCTTCATAACCGTACGCTTATCTTCTGCATGTCGGCTGTTCAGCCTGGGGTGCACGGAAGCATATGTCGGAAGCTCCTAGTTGCTACAAGCAGAGTTGGGTTAAAGAGGCTTGGGGTCTGCCTCCCTTCTGCATCATTGAGGAGCTATGCCCAGCCAAGTATGAGGTCAAAGCTTAGTGCTTGAGACAGGGGCATCCCAGTCTGGACTTGTCTTGTGAAGGAAACAGAGTATTCACTTCCTGCAGATTGGGTTAAGGACAGCCAGACTGCACACACGGTTTCAATTCGACAATTGACGTGGATCGAGTCTTCTTCTCCATTGGTGTTTCAATTTCCCGTTTTGCAAAGACTAATAGGACCTGACAGTTTGGTCGTTCTTCTCTTCTGCAGACTAACAGGACCACCGCCCGCATCTTCCCCGCCGTGTTGGACGTCGAGAACCCCAAGTTCCAGCAGGGCCTCGACCGGTTGTGCATTCTGAATGAGAAGCTTCTCTCCATCAAGAGGAGCGGCGGTAACCAGTTCGTACAAAACGTTAAGCTTATCCCCGTCATTGCCGGTTTTGCTTCAGAGCTGCTAGGCCTCTTCTTGATGCGGCCAGTTGAGGCTGGGTCGACTGACATGGGCTCTTCTTTCGAGCCCTCGCTTACATACTAGATGTAGATTCGGAACCGCGGGAGTCGTTGAAAGTCAAGACACATAGGAGCTGTCAGCTTCTGGCGCGAAAGCTGCGCTGGTGGCCGCTGGTGGAACGTATTTTTGATGTGAATAATGTAAAAGCATACGGCAGAGACGGGATACGAATTCGCGGCACAGCTTTGTGCAACCGCTTGTTCTAAGCAAAGAGTGCCAAGAAGCTCTCTTACTCGATCATGAGCATTGATTAAGCTGGCCCCTAGAATTGTTTTGAGTGGGGATGGGGCACCTGCCGCGCGGCGAGACTCGAGACAAGGTGCACAATGCAATGATGCAAGGCTCCGACTAGATGGGTGCCTAATGTAACCGTCACATGTTGTTGAGGAGCGGTTAGCTGAGTATATAGTGTGGCCCTGCATGTGTGTGGATCACACACGAGTTTGAGCGCGATCGAGCCTGGCGGGCTGCCGCCGCTGTGAATCGACATGCAAGACATACACTTTTGTACAATAGGGAGATGTGACTCGGATCATGAACGATATTGTAAGGCTACACATGCATGTTCCTTTTGAACATGCCCACTTGATATATATATCATGAACGGGCATTTTTAATTTTATATAGATCTACCCCATCGGGTACGGTACTAATTTGATGCATCCGCGCCGCGGCCGTACCATGTCGGATGCCCAACGCAGTGCATAAACGTATACGTGCATGTTTGTATCAGTGTAGCCTGCGGCGCGGGCAGCGTGTCTTAATTGGCAATTGATCGACATGCATGGGGCATGAGTTATATAATCCATGGTCGGAATGACTCGAGAATCAAAGAGTCCAATTGTGTTCCAGCGGATTTTGGCATGATGAAGAGCCGTACAAACGTTCTGCTAATGATATTAATCGGAAGTTCGCGAGAGCCCTTCAAAGCTACACACATGCGACCATTTGTCGTCCTTGCCTGTCAATGTAGCGATCTCCCGAGCTTTTCATTATTGCAGCCGATGGCCAGAGGCAAATTGAGGCGAGGTGGTAGGACCCGTCCGTTACTTTACCATCATTGGACTCCTGCTTCGTCAACTTAGCCCGACCGCTGAACGGTGGAAGGATAGGAGAGATAGTTGATCCCTCTAAGAAACAAATTTAACCAGTACGTCACTTGTCCCCTCCGACTGGGAGGACTTCATGCATGCACCCTGCAAGCACAAGCCGCAAACACTGAGCATTTTGATATCGTTCCAGTCCTTCATAAATATAGACCCCTCCGAGTCGGCTGGTCCATGTCCAATCTTTGGCCGATCAGTTCTGATGGACCCAGATTGCCGTAAGTGCCACTGCGACTTTGACCGGAACCTTCGAACGAATCATGGCACAAACTTCAATCAGCACACAGAACGAATAGAATTGTTTGCCGGACTGGTTCCAGGAAACAGTTGCTTCTCAGGGAGTGTACGTTGATACGTCCGACGGTCGCCTTAAATCCGAGCGCAGTGCCTTTCCTGATGCTGACGCAGTGAAGGTATCTACGACGAACGTGTCTACGCGCTCAGGAAACGCATCCTTCCGAGGCACTGCAAACGCTGAAAGCGCTGCTTCGTTTCTGCCAAAGACTCATGTCCGACTGGTTTTCAAAGGCTGCACTCAGCGACGTAGTAGTCGGCGTGCGGCTCAAGTGCAGCCGTTCATGAAGAGGCAAGACTATATGCCAGCTAGACGACAACTCTCGACCGGTAGAACGTCGTCAGCTTTCGCGCCGATCGAGAGGAGTGACAGCCCACCTGCGATTTTCTTCAGCAATGAGAAATTGCCAACTAATTCAACGCTGTACTGTGTGCTTGAAGAACAGATGCTAGCTGGAGCTGAAATGTACATTCTTGTAATGGGACCGCAGATGGAACATTGAGGACGCTAGCAACTTGAATCGACGCGAAACCTTAAACTTCTCACCTGCGGCAGGAAGGGCAAGGCAACTGAAGATTCCGACAATGAGGGCGGCGTTGGCCGCCGCCATCTCGTCTGCCGTCAAATATTTGAACGCGCCCGCTGCGTGCGTCACCTGCAGGACACGTGGCGCAGTACGAGTAAAAACAGGAAGGCCCCTGAGATCTCTCCTTTCTGCATTAGAAAAGTCTCGTTGGAAAACGCGAATTACTTCGTTGAGTAGCTAGGTTGTAATGCCGCAATATGTCAAGAATACTGCCGAGAAGCAAGATTGTTTGAGGGACTCCAGCTACTACGATTGAGACATCGGACGACAATCCACTTAGAGCAAGCCGCACCTCGAAATCTCGCTGCAAACTTCCTGCCTTGATTTGTGACAAACTTCCTGCCTTGATTTGTGACAAACTTCCTGCCTTGATTTGTGACACGATTGGTCGCCAGGCTTACTTTCCCTTTAAAGAAACCGGCGAGACCAGAACAGAACTCAATCAAGTCGCAGCAAGTCTGGCGGAACGTCTCGTCTTCGGGCCGGCGCCCCGTTCGGGCAGAAATCACTGGCGGCGAAACGGTGCTCACGGGGCAGTCAAAAATTGGTAGGACAAGACTTGCAAGAACAGGAGCTTCAACCTCAACTTATCGACAAGCTTCAACCTCAACTTATCGACAACACGAAATGAGTCACCCACTATGCTATGTCCCTTGTACTGTGCTATAGTTACGGTCGGAAGGCCGGCAGCCTCCTGGGAAGGAGTTCTCTTTTCATAGATCCAAACGGCTAAGCTGTGCCCAAACTAGTGCCAATCGAGTCCGTTGCATTGTTTCAAGGACACGTCTCGTGCAGCATCAGAACGTCAAAGCGGAAAATAACCTCTGCAGGTGCTTTGATATAACACCGCAGACGTGCCGTCGTCATGGCCACAAACGGACCTGGAGAGAGAGACGCTGTGAAAGATCTCGAGAATTCTTTACACCACTTTGAGATTAGGCTGAGCAAAATTTGACTGAGCGACGTTGCGCTCCTTGAGCAATAGAGGGCCCAACTTGAAAGCGATGCAATGGTAGGGAATGAAACGGAAGTGGAATTATGATTGTCTGGACTAGAGTCAAGATCAGAAGTATTAAAGGCTGTGACACGAGATAAAAGACTCGATGATGATCAAAGTTTGGAGGAAGCAGTCAAGCTGCGGAGGAAGTATATAATCAATTGACACTCGGTCGTCCATCTACCCGGTCCTGAATGCTCGCCTGTCTTCTGTGCACGAGAATAGATGTTACATTGTCGCCGCTTCAAGGAGATTGCCCTTTCCCGTCGCCTTACTTTGCGATCGCTGGCGGGCGAGTCTGGACGTGAGAACTGGGGTTTCTAAGGTTCTTCAAAGGAAGCGTTGAGCAAGTACTTCAAGAAAACTTCTCGAGAACGGAACAGTCCAGCATGGAATGGTAACGTGCCTGATCGTGCGCAAGACTTGTAAGCGGCATTCACAAAGCGTCGCCGAGGCTTTGGAATTCAAGGCGCTTTGACCCCAGAGACAGGACGATTGCGGATAGCAGCTGTAGCACGGGCAGATAACCCGTGGGGTCAAGACTGGGGGCGCGGCCTATGTCCATCAAGATTTTGTTGATCTGCAGCTTGTCAGCACTTCAAAAAATTTCGCAGTGATCATCTCCGGCCCACCCTTTGTCAGGAATCGGGGACAAACGTGGCGTCATCTATCGCAACACATGAATGGGCAGGGCGGAGAGTCGAGCCCAAGCACTTGTACGTCATTGTCCTTTGGAATGCGCTGGGACCTCTACATTTGAATTCAAATTCCTGCGCGCCTTGATTGTCAGATCACGCGAGGATAACATATTGAATCTTAGAGCGGCTGTCCCCCGCTTTTGATTGACGATCCACCACCGTCCCATGAGTGTAATCTGAATAACTCTGTCACTGGAGCAAGCTGTGACTGCTCAGATGGTCTAGCAGACGTCAAGACCACGTCGGCCATGAGTGTGATCTGATGGATTTTATCATTGGAGCAGGTGGTGACTGCTCAGATGGTCAAGAAGAACGTCAATCACGCTGACGTGTTATACGTCATCCTCTGGATCACCTACCGGTACGAATCCTTGTTCGTCAGCATCTGAAGGACAAAGCAGGAACAGTACTGACTTTCCGACTCCGAAACTGGCAGCATGAGGGTTTCTAGAGTATCTCTGTTTCATTTCCCCCTGCCACTAAAAAAAAGGTCGAATACAAGCTGGATAGAACAAGCAAAGCGTCAGAGGCAGATGGAAAGCAAGAGCACGAGCGGGCAGGCCTCAGCAACTGTTTGAGGTAGATTTTTGGGCAGCTGTTCCTTTCACGCCCAAATTGATGCCTCGCTTCCTGGGCGGGTCACAAAAAAGTCTGAAAGAAGTCGAATGGCTTGAGAAGAGGAAGTCAGGTCTGGGCAACGACTTGCGACTACAAAATTGCACAAGGGAAGTTGCTGTCAGAATCATGGACACTTCTCAACATCTGTCTGCTCGTCGAGATCCCCGCGGACACAGAGAGGGAGCGTAACCTCTCAGGTTTCATCTCGGAGCATAGATAAGGTGCACACAGCGTCTTATGACGGAGTAAGATACCAGAGTTTGATTGTGAGTCACCGAACTTTCGCAGCAACGGTAGTCTGTATTATGGCCTACGCAGGACCGGAGAGGAGCGCCCTGAAAGCGCCCGGAACCCTATCATTGGGTAAGTCAGCAACTTCTGGTACCGAGACGAGCAATTGCTGCGGCAACTGCTTGAGAAAATAGCTCTACTCGTTCGACCATTCATGGCGGCAGCTATGAGATCCCAGCCGCCGCGCCTAATGGCTTGTATTTTAGAGAAGGCTAGTAGTATTGGATGTATCTTGCACTCAGCAGAGCATTGTTCACTGCTACTTGACCAGAAAGTCAGCCGTGAACGCGGAATTTAACGAGCAACCAGAAAAGGCATCAGAAGAGAGTCCTAAGGCCACATTTGGGATCTTCCCTTCTAGTGAGCCCCATCCAGTGCCCTCACAGCCTCTGCGTTTGGGCGACAGCCCCTACTTTTGTTCCAACTTTTCCTTGTCGAATAGGACGACTTGGTCAAACCAAAAGCTTCCACTCACGTCTGCATTCTGGACACCCACTTAAACGAACCGCGGACGATTTCGGATGCAAGCGGAAGGAGTCGGGAGCGCTCTGGGGCATCAGGAGAGTTCAACTTGATGTGACTCGAAGAAATCTTTATTTCGTCAGCAGCAAACCGCACGGCCCCGGGATCACTTCCTCCAAGGAGACACACTCCTAGGCGACATTCGATAGTCATTTGCTACGAACGACTCG